ACTGATTTAAATACTACTAATGATAATGATTTAAATAATAATAGTAATAATAATAAAGATAATATTTATAATAATAATAATCACTGGCGTAGGAACGGGGGGGGGGGGGAGTGGAGGGAGCGATTGTCCCCTTAGGGGTCGTCCATAAATTACGTGACGCAATTTTTGACCAATTTTGACCTCCCCCCCCTCCCCTTCGTCACAAATTGTAATACTTAAGAATCAAGTTTTGTATGAGTCGTCACAAAACCACCAACCCTTCTCCCCCTCCCCTATAGCGTGACGTAATTTATGGACGAGCCCTTAACTAAAATACTGGGGGAGGGGGTGGACACTGCAATTAGTTCCCCCCCCTTTTTTTTTTTTATCTTTTTTTTTTTTTTTTCAAACAGTTTTAAAAAAACTTTTATGATAGCATCAACGAAATTATCATTTTCCAGTCTGCAATGACTTAATTACAATTAAACATCACCATATCCATAAAACTGTTTAAGATACTATCGAATACTAACTATTTTTTAAATAAATGTGTGCTGGCAAAAGATGACTAATCACGTTAAAAAGATGATTAATCACGTTACGTGTGATAAATAGTTTAATAAATAGATCCATTTTATCAATTTTGCTGTATCATACGAAATTGAGGAACTTTTTCTTTTTTAACATATGTTTTCAGCATCCCCCCCCCAACTTTCGCGACCTTCCTACGCCATTGATAAAAATAAATAATAATAATAATAACATGTTATTTTAACAACAGTAATAATAATATAGTAATTAAAATAATTTAGATGAATCGGTATAGTTTTCCATACAACACACGGTCGTTTACGAGCGCTATGTTTAGGTACGCATGCGTAAGAAAATAACTACAAGTTATGAACTTTTAAAATAGCTGCGGTTCTTAACTACAGTGAACATTTTATATAACAACCATTCATTTGTTATTTATTTCTTATAAATTCATGTTGTTGGCTCATTTTTTATATAGATCAGTATATAAATACCTGAATTTCATAATAGTCGATAAATAAAGATTAAAACAATCTTAGCGTAATAAAACTTTAATTTTATAGTATCATTATTTATTAATATTAAAGATTTGTTTATTTCTTTGAAATCAATTTTCTAGAAATCTAACCGTAGAAATTCAAAATTTTTTTTTTAAACATTAAATAAATCTGTGCTGTATTTAGAGTATTTTTCTAGTAATTGCTTCAACTTTTTTTCGATATAAAAATATACTATGACTCAAAGTAAACATAATAATTACATACACTTCATTATATTACGACATATAAAGTTAGTAGGCAGTTATAACTCAATTTTTATATGAGAAGTTGTTGTTTTTAGTAGTTATTTGTTTTTATTTTATCTCTTCAAGCAAATGTATACAGCTATGATATTATTCATCAACCATTCTTGCTGAATATATAGAAACAAAAATATAAATATACTTTAATATATATATATATATATATATATATATATATATATATATATATATATATATATATATATATATACATATATATATATATATATATATATATATATATATATATATATATATATATATATATATATATATATATATATATATATATGTATATTTATTTATATAAATATATACATAAAAGTGAAACTAAACTGTGAAAATTGAAACTATATATATATATATATATATATATATATATATATATATATATATATATATATATATATATATATATATATATATATATATATATATATATATATACATATATATATATATAGAGAGAGAGAGAGAGAGAGAGAGTGAGAGAGAGAGAGAGAGATAAATACATACATATATATAACCAAAATATGCAGATGTTTATTAATTTATAATAAATTATTTTATTTAGATACCTCTATTATGATTTTCATTGTATATACTGTGGTTAAGTGTCAATAGATTCAAAAAATAATAGACTTTTAATGTTGATTGATTTTTGATTCCTTGACACATAAATTTGAAGTTGGTGCAAATATTTTGAAAAATATAGAAATAAATTATGTATATGATTCCGTCAACCTTTTTTGACAACAAAGCTCAATAGTCTACAAAGAAAAATAGCTTTATGTTATTGGTGAGTAAATTTCTAAACTTATCTTATGTTTAAAAATCTTATGTTTTGTATTTTATGTATTACTCTGAGGTGCCAAATAAACGGGATGGGGTCATTATTAAAGAAATGTTTAGGATTAATTTTTATAACAATAAAAATTAATCCTAAAAATAATACACAATACTTAAACAGTCTCTAATATATATATACATATATATATATATATATATATATATATATATATATATATATATATATATATATATATATATATATATATATATATATATATAAATATATATATATATATATATATATATATATATATATATATATATATATATATAAATCTCTTTATTTTTTTCCCAATAAGTTCTAAATATAAAATAAATATTTCTTTTTTACAATTATTTACATTTTCTTTTTTTTTTTATTTACAAAACTATCATTTAAATATTTTTTTAGTAAATAAAGTTTCATAATAAATAAAGTTTTATGTTAAATAAAGTTTATTTCTTTTTTCTTTTTTTTATTGCTGGTGTCAAAATTCTATTTTGACAATTTGTTTTTAGATGGTGGGCTTTAAGGATACATTTTAATCGTTTTATACGACAAGGAATAGATTGATATATCATACTTAATTTGTTAAACTCGTGATGAATCGATTCACCTCCTTGTTCACCGTACAAACCAAACCCAGCACCCCATTTTTGTAAAAATGGAATAGCGTGATCTTCCATCATGTGTAATTTGGGCGTGACTGAAGCTTCTGGCCAATTGACTCGATAAAATTTCATAAAATCAGAAATATATGTCTCTAAAGATAAAAAAAACTTTTATAAAGAGAGCATGTAATCCCATTCATTTTATCTTACTATAAATTATCTTGCTAGATATGTTTGCTTATTTAACAAGATTATTTAGTCAAAGTATTAGTTTTAGTCAGTATGGGTCATACAGACCAGTATGGGTCATATATCAGTATGGGTCAAGCATGTTTGTTAAATGTGTTTTTTGCTTCCACAACCTCCTCTGCCCTTTAGCTATCACAGCCTATCATGGTTGCGCTGTACATTTTTTTTTTGACAAAATTAAAATGGTGAACATACCGAGTTGTGTTAATTCACTGGTACTTATATTTTTTGAGGAGAATATGTGATAACAGTTAGAAAACTTATAGAAAAGCTGTTTATATTTGTTGCAGACTTCAATTGATTTTTCATGAAGAGTAGTTCCAGAAAATCCTTTTTTATGAACAAGTATAGGAACAGAATTGCATAGCTCTAATATGGATTCTTCCTATAAATTAACAAATAATACATTTAATAAATAAGCAATTAATACATAGTAATATTATAAATAAGCAAATATTACATTTTTATTGTTTTTATTAGATTTAATATTTTATTTTATTGTTATATTAGATTTTATAAATAAAATAAATACTTTGAGCATTTTATGTACATGGTTACCAATAAAACTTTTCCCATGATATGCTTGTCGCTGAACATTAAGTTTTTGTAATATCACCTCTATCTGTTGAGTGCATGGTCCCTCACTTTTCTGAAATGCTGAGCTTTTTTCCAAAGCTTTTAACTCTTGTATCTACACAATTGTTGTTGTTTTTTAACAGATTTTAATATTAGTATGATTTAAATAAGAGATTTAACATGATTTTAGTTTTAGCATGATTTAAATTTGAGTCTAGAGTACTAGACTCACAGCTACCATAGCCACCATTATCTGTGTTCAGTAAGCTACTGATTTGATGTTTTTTTTGTACTTTGGCTGCAGCATTTTGTTTTTTGAACTTTTGAATTTGCAGTAGCTAAAACATTGCAAATCATTTGTGTTTTATTATTGTAAATACTCATAAAACAGCTGCATTGATACTTAAAACTAATTTTTGATAATTTTCATAAAATCAAACCGAACCTTATCCCAAACCTTAGATCTAACCAAACAGAACCCAAACTTTTCGGCTTTGGTTAGATCTAAAGTTTTTCTGAACAAAAGATTCAATTCCTATCTCTAATTTAAATAATAATGTGCTTAGAATAAATAATAGTTAAAATTATATAATTTATGTTTATTAGTTATTAATTTTAAAGATATCCTTACTTTTTCCATATGTGCTCTGTTTAGAGAACCAAGTTGAGGGATGTATATTGACTGAACATTTTCTACATTTTCAGGATTATTTAATATAGCTGCAGCTACAGCATCATTTACTAGCTCAATTTGATCGTCAAGATTAGCGATACAGATTTCAAGATCTGATATATGTTGTTGTTTTAAAATAAAGTCTTGATATGAGTCATATAAAAAACTGTCTTTATTTTTTATTGATGCAGCCATCATAATATCAACTTCATGGGCTACTTCTTCAAACATGTTAAAAATTTTCAAATATACACCAAGAGCAATATGCAGACTTGGTAAAGAAACCTATGTACATACACAGGTAGGAGTTATAATTAAAATATTATTATTATTGACGTATATTAATTTTATGTTACAAATAGCCATCAGAGAAAACTACTGAAAATAGACAACCTAATTTTGCCTGATCTAGAGGTATTTTTAAAATTGGTTCTGTAATAACATTATTGTAATATTTAGCATTTTCCTTTGCGCCACCATTTTTCTTAAATCTTTCAAAATCATTTTGAAGGCTTTCAATCGTACGTAGTTCTATAACAGGTCTTTCTTTTTTGAAAACTTTCATTTCATTTGCTGTTGCATGACAGAACAAACAGCAGTGTTTACCTAAAAATTTGAATTATGTATAGGGTTAATTGAATTATTACAGTCTACTCTGAATACCTCTAATACTCTATATCTTAAGATATCAAGAGTAGACAATATACTAATATTATGCTAGTCACAACGTAACACAATATCACAAAAGCTAAAGACTAACTTTATATGTATTGTATAAAGTAATAAAACAGCATATCAGAAGCTCCTGAAATTCCATACAATGCACAAAGAAATTCATAATCACCAAAGATAAAAACTCTAATATTATTGCCCCTAAATATATATATATATATATATATATATATATATATATATATATATATATATATATATATATATATATATATATATATATATATATATATATATATATATACATACATAAAGCAATATATTCACAAATTGATATTCAAGAATATGTTGGTTTATGTATAGTTTCCTACTATTGTATCGTTCCAGTATTGATTAATAAAATTTCTCAACATACCTATACTTCATTGTTTGTAAGTCTTCTATTTGTTTTTGAAATCTTGTCATGCCTACTTTAATATTAACTCTGAGGTCTTTTGATTCAAATATATTAAAAACAATTGTATTTTCTGTACTATTTGGATTTAAGGTATTAACAACCTGATAACACATCTTAAAACTTCCTCCACCATAATCTCCTCCAATTTTAATTTTAATTTCTTTTTGTGGAATAAACTTATGATACACAAGACTGTTACAGCTATTACAAATTTAAATGATAAGTTGAATAATACTACAAAACAGTATTCTATATATATACAAATAAGGTAAGTTTCAAAAATCAGAAATTAGATGCTAAAATTAGATGCTAAGATATAAATTCTTACCTTTCTAATTGTTCAAGATGAGTAAAAATATGCTTTGGTAAATCTGCAATATAACCCCAAGGTACCTCATTAATTTCAATCTTTCCTTTTTGTTCCTTTTTAAATGTGAAAGGAGCATTTTCAACAATAATGTTGTTTTCAATTTTCAGCTACAACTCTTTGTGAAGCATTAGATGCAGTGGTTATATCATATTTTTTGAGCCATCTAGTAAAAAAAATTTGTTACAGTAAATGTATATATATATTTAATCAAAAGTGCCAAAAAGTTAAAAATGTCATATATTTATACTTACCTAGACATTACTTTAAGTTTTTCCCATGGGATACCCATATCAGTTTTCATAGCTACCATCACATTTGCACTTATTTTAGTGTGATTTAGTTTTGTATTACTTAATATTGACTGTCTCTGATCTGGTTCAAATGATAATAACAATTTACTTGTTTGACTTATACTTGAATCGCATGAATTGCCAGCTACAGTCTCAAAATGTTTCAAAATATTTGTATTACGAAGTCGCAAAGTAGATTCTGCTGCCTGAGCGCTGTTAACATAAGCTTTTGGTGTCTGTGTAAAAACGATTGGCTGTTAAGAAAAAATCAAAAACATTAAGTTCTATGACTTAATAACTTTTTTAATGTTTATGCAAAAAAAAGACTTACTCTAGGTCCTCCACTTTTAAATTCTACTGACTTTCCTCCAAATTTAGCCATTTTTTGCTTAATGACATGAAGCGCAGCTTTTTTTACCTCATATGGAATATCACTATTTTCATTTATCTTAAAAACATCATTGACACTAATACTTGCTGCAAACGATTGAGGAACTGATGCCTCTTTAAGACAAATGCCTTTATGACTCTTATATAATTCATACTCTTTCAATAAATTAAATTTACTATTGCAAAAAGAACAAACAATAGTAAGCATCCTTAGAAGAGAATCAGTTTGCTTACTTGTGAACAAATCATCATAGAAAACTTTTTCATTGCATTTTGGACAAAAGTTTTCATCAAGATACTTAAACATGATTTTTTCCACAATACATAAAAAACAAAATAAATGTTCGCATCTTTTTAATGAAACTGGTGTTTGTGGTATCTTATTACATATACAACAGAGACAAAGCTGCAAGAAAGGGTTTAAGTCATTTTTTAGTTCTAATATGTCAATATCTTCATTTAAATTGTAAATAGGTATAAGGTTTTCTTTAATTGAAGTAAACATAGCAATTGTCCAACATTTTCTATATTTTCCAGGTAACTTCGATTTTTTTAAACTTTTTGCTTTTTTTAAAAATGAACGTGTAGAAATTGTTGTATTTTTTTCTTTTTCAGCAATGTGACATGTCGCACAGTTTATGCTATGCGGTTGCCACTCATTGAATAAAAGCAGTGCTGTTGTTGTTTTTCTTTTTTTTAAATTATTGATAGTACAACAACATTTATGGCAGATTTTTTCCGGATGAACAGTTTTTATTTCTGTCAGCTTAACAAGAAATACTTGCTCAATTATGATTTTGATTTTATCAGTTACATTATATTGTCTTATCCCAATCCATTTTGCGCATATTCGGCAAAGGTAGTTTAAATTTTTGTTATGTAACTCCATCTAAAAGCATTACTTAATATTAAAATTAGTCAAAAAAATAAACTAACTATTAATATATAAATATATAGCATTAAAATATTTGTGAAAAACTAGTGTTGGTGTCTATTAGTCTATTTTAAACTGTGTCTAGCAACAGCACATACTTACACATATGTGTAAGTACCTTATTATACAGTAAATAATACAGTATAATAATATATTATGTATAGGCATATTTATTATATTGTATCTAACTATACAGTGATATGCAACACTTGTTGGCATTATTTTGAACTATAATTATATATATTATATATTTTTTTTTCCAATATTGATCAACATGTAGTAGTATACATCAGATACTATAACATTTCCTTTGTTTACAGTGATTTTTTGGTTGGTGCTTTAACTTTTTTTCGATATAAAAATATATTTCTGCTCTTACGACTATCCCTAAATAATAAAGTGTTTTTCTTTCTTTGTAGTTATATAATATGAGTTTTAAAATAAAAAAAATACTTTATTATATCAGGGTATAGTGACCTTTTCCCTGATATAATAAAGTGTGTTTTATTCCTTCTTATGCATAAGAGCAGAAGTATATTTTATATAGAAAAAAAGTTGAAGCAACAACCAAAAAATCACTATATATAGAGGAAATATCGTTTTAAAATTTAAAAAAAAATTTTTCAATTTCTACGGTTAGAAGTTGAGAAAATCGATTTTAAAAAAATAAACAAATTACTGACTAATACTAAAATAGCATTCGAGGAAACTGAAGGTTTAATACGCCAAGATCATTCTCAGCTTATTTAAATTTTTTAATTATGAAACTAAGTTATCTATCTTCTGATTTACTGCAATTATAAGATAAAAATAGTAAGTTGCGATTAACAAACCTACAACAAAAAGATCGTCATATAAAATGTTCGCTGTAGTTAAGGACCGCAGCCATTTTAAAAGTTCAAAACATTTTTAAATTAATTGACGCATGCGTACCTAATATCGCTTTTTCCTAATATCGAAATGACCGTGAACAGTCGTTTTTACATACAAAGTTACAACTACAAAGAGTAATAAACTGACATAAAAACAACCACTGCTGAAAAAATTATAGAGATTTAGTCAATATATTTTTTTTATAATATAATAACCGAAATATATTGCAAATAATATGACAAAGTAAATAAATAATATATAAACTGAAAAACACTGAGAAAATCAAAGCAAAACAAAAGTTACAACAAACATTACAAGCAAAACAAAAAATTACGTCAAGTTATTTTGGCAATAAAAACAAAAAACAACATCAACAACAACAATAAAACAACAACATAAATTAAAAATAATAAAGAAAAAAAAAAGTAATAATAATACACGGTACACACTCGCGGAAAGTGTGGAGTTTTCCACCACACCGGAGTGTAGCTGCCACTCCTAGACACAAGTGTGGAGTTATTTTTCACAATTTTGTGGAAACAACTCCACACTTCTGTGCAGAAGTCGAGTTAGAAAAAGTTAATTTCCACAAAAGTGTGCAAAATAACTCCACACTTGTGTCTAGGAGTGATAGCTACACACCGGTGTGGAGGAAAACTCCACCCTTTCCACGAGAGTGTAAAATAAAACATTTATGATAGATGGTTAAAACGAAAATAAAAACAAAAAAATAAAAAACACAATAAAAAATTAGATATCACTATTTAAAAATAATTAATAACTAAAAAATAAAACAATAAATGACTAACAAAAAATAAAAAGTAAATTTTTATACGCTAAAAAGCTTAAAAAAAATCATTACTACAATATCACTGCAACCGCATAACAGCATAACCGAAAAATAAATCGTAAATAAGGAATCCTAAAAATATTTGAAAGAAAACTAATGAAACATATAAAATAAAACAAAAGAAATATATGAAAAAATAAAAAAAATTATTTGCCGACCTTTTTTCGATATATAGTTTTTTTTTCTTTCTTTCCATTCTTTTTATTTATTTCATTCATTAACTTTTTTCTTAACTTCTATTTTCTATACCTCTTTACTTACTTTCTTTCAGATGTTTCTTTTTCTTTTCTTGTTTAAAAATATTTATTTATTCTTCTTCTTAGCTGATTTTATTATTCGTTTAATTTATAAATTTTTTTTTTTATCTGTTTAAAAAGCGTCCGCCATTGCGATGTCATTTAAATAAACGACCATGCTGTTGTTTATTTCAAATTTTAAAGTACTCCTTCAGATTTAATTTTCTTTTTCTTTTTTAATTTTTCCTTCTCAAAATTTAGGTTAAAAAGCAAATACTTTAGAGTTGGTAGATTGGCATGGAACATGTTGTTCTGTAAAATAAGCTAGTTCTGTAAAAATTTTCTTTTTACAAAAATTAAAAAAAACTTAAATGCTTAACTCTTTATAAATAAAATTTTTTTATAACTAAAATATAAAAAAACGTTGTAACATTATAAACCAAAAAAAAAGTTTTCCTAATTGCCAAATATTTTTTTTGATATAACAAATTAATTACCATATGTAATAACTCTTAATGTACCACACTTTAATTGAGAACTAAGATTAAGGAGTTAGAAAAAAAAAATTGAACACATGTAAAATCAAGTTGAATGTACTATTTAAAGAATTTAAAACACATGTTTCTTAGATATAGCTGTTAAATTGAGCAAAATACTGGTTATTGTATTCTATAATTAGTAAAAAAAATTAAAAAAAAATTAAAAATTAACCTATCACAGCAATTCATTTTAAGAATTATTAAATAAAAAAAACAAACTTTTTAAAAGTTATACTTATTACGTTATCATATATTTTACTTTAAATACTTTTGAAGAGAAAAAATAAAAATTTTTTAGCTCTGGAAAAACAAAACAAAAAACAAAAAAGCTTTTCTCTTTATATATGTATATATATATATATATATATATATATATATATATATATATATATATATATATGACACATGACACATGACACAAATATATATATATATATATATATATATATATATATATATATATATATATATATATATATATATATATATATATATATATATATATATATATATATATATATATATATATATATATATATATATATATATATATATATATATATATATATATATATATATATATTGTATAAATGCAAGTTATAATAAACAATAATTTGAAATTATTTAAGGAAAAATTTTGAATCAAATCTGAAGTAATATTAACTTCAATGATGATATAAACCTGATTTACGATTTTTTTTTTTTTTTATACATTTAAATCCATTTATGACACAAACGTAATAATTCGTGTAATAATCCGTAACGCCAATGACGTATTTTTTCCTTGGAACTATAAGACTTAAAAAATTATCGAAAGTGAAACAAAAACTGTAAATTAAATATCTAAAATATAAATCAGTCAATCATAAAAATAACTACTTAACTTATAAAAATAACTTCGAAAAACTCCGCCAAAATGCGAAAAGAAATTACTACTCCAACTTGTTTGCAAAGCACAAACATAATTCAAAGCGTATTTGGCAACTAATGAAAGAGATCACGAGAAAAAATTAGAAAAGTGCAATATCAGTACCAAACGCAATAAAAATTAAAAATAAATTATTTAATGACCCTGATAAAATTGCTTTTGAATTTAACAAATTTTTTTCTTCAATCGGGACAAGCTCATCAAATAAAATTCCTTATCTTAATGACAAATCAATTGATGAGTTTATAACATCACCTAATTCAACTGTAATTTTTTCAAATCTAACATACAGCGAATTTGAAGCAGCGTTTAAATCATTAAAACGAAGTAAAGCAATTGGGGGTGATTGCAACAATGGCAAATAGACTCCTATGACGTTTTGAAAGATATAATCTTGAAAATTCGCTCACGGATCCTTTCCAGATTCTCTAAAAGTAGCAAAAATAACTCCATTAATCAGGCGACCATTGCAACATTACAAATTATCGTCCTATTTCAGTTCTTACAGTTTTCTTAAAAATATTAGAAAGAATAATGTATAATAGAGTCTACAATTATTTAGTTGATACTAAACTTTTATAAAATAATCAATTTGGCTTCCAGGGAAACAATTCTAATGAACATGCCATACTCTAACTAACTACCTAGGCCTGTAGGAACAAAGCTTATATGCGGGGGATGGGCAGTACTGCCCCAAAATAGGTCTAAATTTGTTTTTTTTTAGTCATTTTTTCATTCAATTTCTTCAAAATTATTTATTTAAAACAAATGCCCATGCTGCTTCCCCCCCCCCCCCGTTGCTACGGGCATGATACCCAAGGAGTATTCATCGATTTGTCTAAAGCTTTTGATATTGTTGATCATCACATTTTTTTAAAAAAACTATAACTCTATGGCATTAAAAATAAATCCCTAAGCTGGTTCAAATCCTATCTGAGTAATTGCAACCAGCTCGTTAATATCCAATACTCTTCTTTGTCTTTATTAATAAATGTAACATGTGGTGTCCCACAGGGATCCATAGTCGGGCCCCTATTATTTTTAATAAGTATAAATGACCTTAAAAAGGCCTTTAACTTAATCACTATAATTTTCTGCTCATGACACAAACCTATTCAATCTCAGGAAAACATAAACTTTTTAATAATATGACAAAATAAAATCTCTTATATATTGGTTCATATTGGTTCAAGAAAAACAGGTTGCAAAAACAAAATTAACACTTTTTTACCCAATATACAGAAAAAAACGTTTGCCAAATACGATGCCCGACCTCTTTATTGATAATACAATACTAAAAAGGGAAAAAATTAAAAAAACTTTTTAGAGTTCTTCTAGACGTAAACTTATCCTGGAAACAACAAATCGATAATATCTCCATGAAAGTTGCTAAAAGTATTGTAATTATATATGAATTTCAGCATATGTTAAATAAATAACAATTAAAACAACTATATTTTTTGTTTATCCACTGCCATTTAAATTATGCAAATTTTGTATGGGGAAGCGCGCACAAAACTAAACTTAAATCTCTTTATCAGCATTAGAAACACGCAGCTCGCGTGTTAATTTTGTAAATAAATTTTGTAAATCGTTTTTCCAATTCAAAAATACTTCTGAGAGAAATGAAAGTCTTAAATATATACGAACTAAATATTTAAAATATTTTATGTTATATGTTTAAATTTAAAAATCATTTATCTCCTGATGAATTTATAAACCTTTATAATGTAAAATCCATAAACAAATACAATCTAATGGAAATAATCTACAAGAGCCTTTCTGCCAAACTAAATTTGAACAGCTATTTTTTTCTTATCACGATCCTTATTTATGGAATAAAATAGTTTTGCCTAACTTTGATTTGTCTTTGAAATGGACTTTAACTTCTTTCAAACGAAAATTAAAAGTTATCTTTTCAGCAGAAAATATTTTTTTGTTTTTAGTTCTTTTGTTTTATATATTTTATCCAGTATATTTATATTTTAAATGCACAGTTATATAAAGTTTATATTGATTTATTTTTATTGGTTAATTTGATTTTATTGTTAGTATTATTATATTTGATATTGTAAAGGGCTTCATGATAAGATCGTATGATCTTTTGGAAGTTCTTCCAATTATATTTGTAATAAAGCTATTCTTTAATTGTTATTTTTTTATTGAAGGCAAATAAAAAATAACTTTTAACTTTGTTATATGCGTACTCTCAAAGGTCTGATCTCAAATATGAGTTATGAATCATATAACAATAATCAAGAAATATATAAACTTTAAATAATTTTGGAACTATATAGGCTTTGACTTATAAAGTAAACCTTAGTTTTTTGATATTTCGGTGTTTAATGCACCAATTTGAGTTTTCTAAAGCTCAAAAAAAATGTATAAAGTGTTTCTCTCCAAATTTGAATGAAATAAACTGTATTTTTTTCTTTTATGTTTAATGATAACTTGTTTGTTTACCGTATATTGAGTTTTTGACGTTCTTTATTTACATTTTCATACAGATCGTTGATGTTTATTGAAGAGTTTAACAAATCTATATTTTTTGCAAAAGTTATAACTTTAAGTTTCATAGAGACTTTTGAAAGGGTTATTTAGATAGAATCTAACACCACAGTTGTTTTGTGTAATTTTAAGGTGTAGTTTTTATTTGAAATAACGCATTGTTGTCTGTTGTACAGGAGGTTTTTGAAATAATGTAGAGTTTGCATTTTTAATCTATGTTTTTCTAATTTTTCGAGTAGTACATATTTTTCTACTTTTTCAAGCATGATCTACAGTGTTAAAGTCTATAAAGACATCAAATACGATTTTTTTTTAATTAAAAAATTTAATTTTGTTGGTGAGATCCAAGATAGGATGTTGAGTGCTATGTTTGATAACCATTATGGTCTCAATTTAGAGTTTTGATTGTAATTATGTATTTATATAAGCGATTGCAGATTTATTCGTTTAAGAAGTTTTGATAACACATAAAAGGTGTTTCATAAATTCAGAATCGAACGAAAATTTTGCGCACTCACAGTGTATTATTCAACAAAAAAATTATCTTGAGTTAAGTTAAAGAAGAGTCTTTATGCAACAATTATATTATATTAAAAATATCTTAGATATTTTGATTTTAATCGAAAATAAAAATTACAATTAAACGTTCTCAAGTGACTTAATGTGATTTCTAACTTTAAAGCTGATGGACTATAAATAGCATATCTTCTTTAAATACTGGCATTTTAAGTTAAACACAACCGTTTAAAGATAATTGAAGAAAATGGAATAACTGATAAAAATGGAATATGGAATAATCATTGGATACTTTTTGTGTTAACATAGATGAGCATTTTTCAAAATAAAAAATAATTTAAATTATTTTTAATTTTATATTTTACGCTTTAGTGAGCTGAAATTAAAAAACGAATCATTTATAAAACTCTTACAAACTTTATTTAGTAAAATATTAATATAAATATTTATATGTATTGATATAAATATTTACATTTCTACTTTTATCATTATCACTATTTGTTTTTTTACGTGCATAAAATGACCTTTTAATCCAATATTTGGTTCGACAGTGTTTAATAAACTTTCCTTGCCAACTGGAGGTTTTCGGTTTTTTTCAAGATATTGTTGTTAGTAAAAATTTATTTAAAACCATTCTTTTACAAATAAAGTATTTCATTTGACTTTAACATAAAATTTATAATAAAACATAATTCTTAATTTTAATTTTTTTTGTAAAACTTTATAATCAAATACTTATGTGTATTTGTTGAACTAGTTCATTAAAGTTTATTTTATGTTTTAAAGGTTCTCGATGAAAAGACTATTTTAGTCTTCTGCGAGTTTCCTTACAACAAAGAAAAATATTTTTTAAGAATAATTTTATATATATATATTCAACAACGTCCACAAGCAAGTCCCTAGTAGCCCTGTGGTACGACGGACTTGCATATATTTTTTAAATGCATGGGTTAATAGCCAGCACTTTATATTATAAACAACGAATAGTTACCTTACTTTGTACAAGAAGTGGTTTTGTACTAACAGAAAACGGGTTTTCAATTTATTTAGTTTTTAGTTTAATGAAAAAATAGAAACTATAGCACCATGGAAGAGCATTTAATTAGAAAGTTCACGCCTCCTTACTTACCGATAGCGCCAATACGCTCAGAGCTCGCTTTGAACCCTGATTTTCTAACTTTTAAAGCAAACTCTATAACCACTGCGTCACGGCTGCTCTAAATTCGATTGGCCCAGAAACTCTCTCGGCAATCAACTCAATTGAAAACCTGTATAACATTGTTAAGAATAGCAGCCTACATCTCTGAATTCACTGAAATAGTCGATACTTCAAGTCTGGGTCCAAATTGTAACACAAATAACCTGTGAAAACCTCATAGTATTAATGCCAAGACTTTTAAAAGACATAAGCTTTTGTAAATTTATGTAAACAATGCAGACATTTTTTTTCCAAATGAATGTGTTAAAGTACAAATTTTTATCCGTTTCTAAAAAACGAGAGAAAAGTAGAGTATAAGCTTACCTTCGTCTTTCAAGCTAAGCTAAAAATCGATGCATGATGACAATGATTTCAACAATTATTTACTTCCCCCTAGTAAAGTTCCTTAATAGACGTCAATTTGTCATTTTAGTGTTTGCGTGCTCTTTATCGTTTCTAGTCAGCAGAGTACTTGTTAGTACCCTTCAATATTATACCTTCTTTCTCAAACTTGTCAAAGCAGAGAGCTATAGCAATCACCACTGTCAAACCAAGTTCAACCGCTTGAAGCATTTGGTTCATTTTGTTAAACCTTTCTATAGGTGAACTCTTGATTACTATCATGACTGTTGTCCCCAGCGGATTCATTTTTTTGAGAAGTTTACTCGCTTCTACTATCATGTTTAGGCTTATGCGTTTTTTTATTAATCAGCTTTTTTATGGCCCCCTTGAAGTTTAAAAGCATTGTTCATATATAAAAATATATGAACATCATTGACAACTAGAAACTAAAAAAAAACATACTACATAAACAATGCAACCGACGAGTTTTCTTCGACATGCATACGTTTCGAAGTAAAGAGGCACTATCGTTAATTTCTAAAAAAGTCCTCTATATCTTGAAATTAAAAAAAAAAAAAAAGTCCTTTAAAAAAAAGGGGTGAGGGGAGCAATGCTTCCCATTGATGTCGTTGGCTCTGTATCTCGGACATGAGTTAAGGCTGGTTCTCAGGTTTATACATATTGGTTCTCAGATTTATACATATTGGCATGAAATTAGTACTCAATGCAACTAAAGCATGGAACAAACAAATTCGTAAAAAAAAAGGCGATAATTTAAAACAAATCCGATTGGTTGTTAGTGGCAAACCAAAAAACTTTTTACTCATTGGTATTTAGTTTATGCAAATAAAGAATTCGAATTGAATGTAAATAATTTATAAAATTTTCCGCCTCTTTTTTTTAATTGTTTACGCATTTTGAATATAATAATTTATAGTTTCAAGATGGTCGAATAAGTCCCGAGTATTTCAAAAATGATGCTAAGTACCGAATACAGTTTTTTAAACGGGGTTAAAAGTTATGATTATTTATGCAAAAACGACTTTGGTAGAAAAATTAACACTACCATAGGTTATCTAAATCTAATGTGACATTATTGTTTAACATACTCATTTAAGTGTATGTTATATATAGATCTTCGCAAAGCCTTTGATACAGTAGACCATAGCATTCTTATAAAAAAACTCGAAAGTTATGGTATTAAAAGTACATATTTAGAATGGCTCAAAAGTTGTCTAAACAAAAGAAAACAATGCATAGCACACGAAGAAAGAAAAACTGAATACTTGACTAATACTTGTGGGGTTTCCCAAGGCTCAATTCTGGGTCCACTTTTATTTCTTATTTATGTAAACGATTTCCATAAGTTTTCAAACATTTTAAACTCAGTTTTATTTGCAGATGATACAAGTTTATTTAATTCTAATGGAGATATCAACCTTTTATTTAAAATAGTAAACAAGAAATTTTTAAATCTAGCGGAATGGTTTAGGCAAACAAATTGTCCTTAAATTTAAATAAAACTAAGTATACTTTTTTTCATAGACTTCACGATAAAGAAAATATTCCATTAAAACTTCCTAATCTTTACATTGGAAACTCTAAAATAATTAGAGAGTCATCATTAAAATTTTTAGGAGTGATACTTGACGAAAACATGACATGGAGAGAACACATAAGAACAATTGAAAATAAAATTTCAAAAAATATTGGCATACTATACAAAGCTAAGCAAATCTTAAACCAAAACTGCTTAAAAATCTTATATTTCTCCCTCATACATTGTTATATAAACTATGCAAACATAGCATGGTGCAGCTCTAATGTAAGTAAAGTTAAAAAATTGCTTAGTAGACAAAAACACGCTGTCAGGATTATTTCAAATGCAGGTCGATTCGCACATTTTAAAGAATTATTCAAAAATCATCACATACTCAATGTTCTTCAGTTAAACCTTTATCAAATTCTTATATTTATGTACAAACTACATAATAAATTAAATTTTTAATATATTTTTCAATAAAATTAATCACGTTTACCCTACAAGATTTTCAAATTACAATTACGAGCAACCTAAAATACACTATTTGGCTACTAAATTTTCTATTGCCATCAGAGGTCCTAAATTATGGAACACTTTATTAAATAACCAGCTGAAAAACTGTTCTTCACTTTCTCTATTTAAACAAAAACTTAAACAAAAACTTCTTAACGATGTTAATGAATTAAATTCTTTTTAAGATTCTTTTATCTTCTTTTTTAACAACTATCTTATTAACTAGTCTAACCAATTTAAATTTTCTTTAAATTATCCTATTAACTTATCTACAGTTTTTAGGTGTGATTGCTTTTTTTTTTTTTTTTTTTTTTTTTTTACGATTTTTTTTGATTAAAGATTAGTAACTGATCTTAACATATTTGTATATATTTGTATATAATTTTTAAATGGTACAAAGTAATTTTATGTTTTATGTTTCCATTTTAATGGTTATACACGCTTGCTGATGAAAGCACGTCGGGGTGTAGTGATAAGGCAAATATTGTCTTCTTCTAGCCCCGGCCATGTAGATTTTATTTATATAACACGGCATTGTATTCTTTTTTTTTAATGACAAATAAAAAAATAAAAAAAATAAATAAAAGTGTGGTATTGAAAATATTAACTTCAATTTTCATAAAAAAATGGTTTTTCATTGATAATTTTCCCAAATAGTTTCTGATTAGATATGTCAAGTTACATTTTATAAAAACAAACACCAATACGTGCTTTTATCAAAAAATCAAGTTTATAGACTTATCTATAGCCAAGCCCCAAGGTACTTTATGTTAAAAATTGCATCTTTTCTAAATAAAACTACGCTTGACAATTTGTTATAGCCGCATTACTTTTACCAGATTATAATCGTGGTTAAAATAATCTTTCTATACATATCAAATGTCATACTTTTTGATGAAAAAACTTATATTTTTGTTCGGAAAAACGTCTACTAGGCCTTAGTTGCATTGAGTTATGGTAATTTTTACTGGTTATTTTTTTAATTATTTTTAAATAATAATATAATTATGTAAATGTTTAACAATCTATTATTCTTATTTTTACATTTGTTGTAACATAAATGATGTAATTCAGTTTATTTATATTTTATTAGCTATTATTTAATTGCACGTGGTTTCCTTGATACGGAAATTACCACATTCTGTGCTAATACTAAAGCTTGGTTGTACAACAGTTGCACAGCAACTAAGTTTTATAATGTAGCCGAAGTTGCGCAACATAATCTCTGTTGGACAATTGTAAACAATTGCTTAGGAACTGTAAACAATTTTCTACAATTCTTGCGGAAATAGAGCAAATTAATTTCTGCTACAATTCTTGTTCAAGTTGTACAAAGTTGTACAAAGTTGTACAAAGTTCACTATTGGAAACCAAGTTTAAATAAAATGTGCGCGTAAAATCAAATTAAAATTTTATAGGATCTTTTTATATTTAACTGCGTCTTTAGGATAAAAAAAAAAAAAAGTTGTGTACAAAATAGTTTGAAAGAAAGTAAAAAACATATATAAACAAAAGAATAAAGTAAAAAAACAAATTAAATAACAAATTGAAGCACCGATCACACCTATTAAAATAACAATGAAAAAATAAAAATAAAAATTGTTGAATAGATTTAATTTCTGACTTAAAACTTTAAAAAAAAATTTATTTAAATAAACTAAGCCAGTTTTTATAAACTTTTATAGAATTACAGAGTATTATACTACGATTTAGCTGTTTGTAGTGTTTTTCATATTCCTGATAATTTTTTTTATTAGTTGCTGTTACTGTTTTGAAGCTTTTTAGGCTTCGAATCCTATTGTTATTTTATTGTTATTTTAAGATATTTGACCTATAATAGTTCACATTTTGCAATCCACTTATGCCTACTATATACAATTGCTAAGAATATATTGATAAAAGTTAAAAAGTAATTTAATGTTTAAATTATTTTTATTTAAAATAAAAATTAAATTATAATTTTTTTAAATGTATATATATATATATATATATATATATATATATATATATATATATATATATATATATATATATATATATATATATATATATATATATATATATATATATTGAGCTTATTTGAAATTTGATACATTTAACAGGTTAAAAAGTAATTTTAATAAAATAGTATATTAGTATGAATAACATATCAATCTACTATTTGTAATACTAAAGCTACTAACTTCCTATTAATTCTTAAGTTTGCTACTAACTTATTAATTCTTTTATTCTTTTTATTAATCTACTTAACTTAAATTTCTTTTTTGGGTTTAAACACAATTTTATACCTTTTATTAGGATTGACTTTCTGTGTAGTAAGGGATATTATTATCACTATTATTTACTATTATTAGTTTAAGGTTTTGCTATTTCTTTTATTCAATACTTGTAGTATAAGGTGTAACTATAGTAATACTATTACTATTGTTACTAATAATAGTATTATTAGTATGGAGGGTTTCTATACAGAAAAGTTAAATTTTCGACATTTTTTTAAGTTTACTTAAAAGCATTTTTTTTTACTTAAAAAAGATGGGAAAGAAAAAAAGATTAAAAAAAAAAGTGCTTCCATCTTTATTTGTTGCATTGTATGATCATAATCCTGAAAATAATACAAGTACCGGCGAGCAACAGCCCTCTATTACACCTGAGTTATCAAAACAATTATCTTATAAAAGAGGCGAAATTTTATCCATGATAAGTGATGACTTGGACTACTGGATACTTTGCAAATCAACTGTAACTGGAAAGCAAGGTTATGTACTGACTTCATTACTTGCTCCATTAACAGGTGCAGGGGCAAGGTAATATCTTCTCAACCATAACATAAGCTTTTGCAATATTTAAGTTATAAAATATTGCATTGAGATGTGACAAGTGTTATAAATTCCAAAACAGATTTGAGATAATTGATTTTTAATAATTTGATTGATTTCCGTAATTTTCTATTGTCAATAATAACAATCATTCAATTGTTTAATATAATAGTTTTTATAATTTTTGTGTTCCATTAATTGAATATACATAAGAATCAATTAAAGCCTGAAATTTATAATTTTAAAAGTTATGGCACTTGTCTTCTCACAGTGTGATATACATATGTTGAAGATAAGCTATGTAATTTGAAAGTATTAAGCAGAGTAAATAATTATAATTTTTACATTTAGTGTTCATTATACCAAAAAAGAAAAAAGAAAGAAAAAGAAATGCATGGTCTATTTTCCAAATTTTCCTATAGAAAAACCAAAGGTTAGTTAATTTTTCTGTGTTTAGTTTGTTGGGGTGCACTATGAGTCCAAGTCACAAAAAACTGGCCAAAAGTCGATTTTAAAAATTATTTTAATATTAGTAATTTTTTTATAGTTTAGAAAGTATATTTACCCAATAACTGGAAAACATAGACAACTTTTTTAAATTTTATGCTATTGCAATTACTGTTTTAATAATAAAAAAAAGTAATAACTAGATTTTTTAGCTCTTGGTTTTGTGTTTTTAAAAAAGAGTTAAAAAATTTTCAAAATGTGTATTTGTATGGTCACAAAAAATGAAAATACTTTGTCTACATTTCACCCCTTCTTAATTTCTACCCCATTATTATGAATGTATTGGGTACAAAACAAATAGTTTTTTAGCCGCTCGAATTCGTTCCACTTCAATTAAATGTCAATTATTTTTAAAGACACTAGATGTGCTGGTGGAGGCAGAGGGGGAAGGAAATTCAAGTATACAAAACTTTATTTTAGCATTTTAATAACTTGGGATATTTTAAACTTTTTAAAAAAAGTGTTTAAAGCTATATTTTTATATATATAATTTATATATATATATATATACATATATATATATATATATACATATATATATACATATATATATTACTATATTATATATATATATATATATATATATATATATATATATATATATATATATATATATATATATATATATATACCCATATAGTGTAGTCGAAAGAGCGTTTTAATGTAAAAAAAGTCTCTTACGACTACAATTTTAATTACCTCGTCTCTTAAGCTGTTTTTGATTGTCATCGAAATGTCAAAGCAATTAATTTATGCCGAAGTACATTAAATTTAATTGTTTTTTAAAAAATTTTTAAAAAACCGCAATCATAACGACTAGAAAGTTTTTTTTAATTAGTTGTGTTTTTGTTATTGATTTTATAAAAAACATTTTTAAAACATGCGTAAATGTTGCTACATCGACTATCTTATAGCCTGATTCGCAACGGAGTGCTGCTACATCGACTGACAAATAGCCTGACTCGCAAGGGAATGCTGCTACATCGACTGACCAACAGCCTGACTAGCAAGAGAGCGCTGCTACATCGACTAAGTGTTTGGTTTGGCCAGGCAGTCTATCAATTAAAAAAAAAATTTAATTTTAAAAACTTTTTTTGGTCTGGTTTATTAACGCGCTCTTTAAAACTACAGTTTATGGGAAACTTTTTTTGATGCCATGCAAGAGACATGCAAGAGTATATATATATATATATATATATATATATATATATATATATATATATATATATATATATATATATATATATATAATATTAAACAAAAATAACTTAATATTAAAAAAAAGAATCAAAATTGGTATTTTTACAAGTTTATTTATTTATATACAAATTTTCACAAAAAAGATCAATAAAAGTATACATATTTAACTAAAAACATTAATCTTCTATTTGCCGATGTAGTCAAATATTTTCCCATGGCCACTCAAACTCCACCCACTTTACTTTCGGTATTGGCAATCCCTTTCTTTTTAATAAAATAATGGGAAATCTTTTCCTTTATTCTGGGCTCACACCCTGTGCGCACTATAGGATGCGGGCCCTTATTAACTCAATAGCGTACATAAACTTTATAAAATAAATCTATAATAAAATAATTAATAATCGAAATAGCAAAAATTGAAATAGTATTTTAGTTTTAAACTTAACTATAATACTTTCAAATCTTTTTTTAACCAGTATCAGATAAGGATGGTGCATCAGCTATTGTTGCTGAGATTGCTACAACTTTATTGGCTATAATAAATATCAAAAAAATAAATACAGGTGATCAAATTGAAAATTAAATATAATTTAAAGCAATCGAACCATTAGTAAAATATCTTATAAAATACACAATCATATTAGAAACACAATTATATTAGAAAATATTACATTTTTTCTAAATCAGTTTTGAAGATGAAGATAAATTTGAAATTAAAACTTACAGTATGTGATAAGCTGTGGCACTAAAATTAAAATAACCAACAAAATATTTATTCAATTACATTTTGTATAAAAAAATTTGTTGAATTAGAAACTAAAAAAAAGCTTATGTAAATTTTTAAGAAGTAAGTTTAAAAAGTTCTTTAAAAGTAAATTTAATTTTATAAAATCTAACCTGAATATCACCACCAGACAATAACACTAAATTAAATATAATCTAGCTTAATCTACATAAAACCAATAAAAAATAAAAAACAACTTATATTTAAAAAAAGATCATCTTTAGCTTCTATAAAATCAACAGCCTGTCTAGATACAATTTCAATACATCACCTACAAAATAGGACATGTTTAATTAAGTAAAACATTAAAAAATTAAACTTTAGTAACTTTAACAATAAGACAAACAAGCGATAATGTGGTACTACCATGGGGCGTGGTGGTGATCGAGCTGGGAAGTTATGAGGCAAGCGCTTACTTAAATGCTTACTTAAGTTTAAGCACTTACAGGCTTATGAGGCAAGCATTCTACTACTAAACCACTACCGCGTTTATAATGTAATAATTATATATATATATATATATATATATATATATATATATATATATATATATATATATATATATATATATATATATATATATATATATATGTATATATACATATATATATATATATATATATATATATATATAATATATATATATATATATATATATATATATATATAAATATATATTTAATTGAAATGGTAATTATATGGCTTTAATTGATTGTTTTTTTTTAATTTTATTTCTGAAATTACAAATAAATTATATATGTCAAGTTATTGTCAGGTCAGGTTTATCCTGCTACTGGTAACATGTAACCCAGTACAATCTGCTTCATATCCTGCTGTCTTGTAGGATACGCTTTTTTAAGCAAAGGCTAGGAGATGCCGACTGCAACATAAAACACCCCCTACCTTGGGGCTCTTGGCTGAGTAAAGGCTAGAGATGGTGTCTTGATAAAAATACTCATCTTGGGCAGATGTTAAATGCATCCGACTGCTGTCTTGTTGTATGCCTCCTAGGCAAAGACTTAAGGGGTAAACAGATTCTATCTGTTGACCAGCCTCTCATTCCTTCTTCATCTAATAGGCTGGCGCAGATATATTTTTAATACATTGTTTCCAGTTTAGGATGTTGAATGCTGGATCTTTTTGACCTGATGCATAGGTTTTGCTTGTGTCTCTGTTTTTATGATTAAATAACTCATTCTATTATCTCCTAATGAGGGTACAGCTCTAAAACTCAGTTTTATGGTTCTAAGGCCGGCTGGTAGTCAGGTTTCCCGAACTCTGTGGTAGCTCTCAGAGAAGCTGATTCCATCAACAGCTGTAAAATATCAAAGTACTAACAGTGCCATGTTGCGCATGGATGGTGTTCCTGCTTGTACTTTTTGGTGTGCATTGGCAAGGCCACATCAGAGCCCTTTGCTAGGCTAAACCTATCATTCACTAATATTTGTGGTCTTCGAAGTAACTTTTCTGCTGTTGAGTCTTATCTCTTGCAAAGTTCACTAAACCTACTTGCTCTTTGTGAGACTAATTTGAGTTCAGCTGTCTCATCTTGTGATCTTAGTGTTGATGGTTATCTTCCTTTAATTCGTAAAGACTCCAATAGTCATATGCTTGGCCTGGGCATTTACATTCGTAAGAATTCATTTGTCGGGAAACTAGGTTTGAATCCATAGACTACTCTTTCATGTGCTTATGTTTAGTACCACTTCATTCTATCACCTTTCTCTTTGTTCTATATCGCTCTCCTTCATCTCAGTGCACTCTTCTTGATGTTATTTCTGATCATATTGACCAAGCCCTCTTTCTTTATCCATCAGCCAATATTGTTATTGTCGGTGACTTTAATGTTCATCACACTGAATGGCTTGGGTCTATTGTCACACTTTGATCTCTCTAAAACTATTATCTCATTCTTCTTTATCATTAGATTCCCCCTATCATCTCACATCTTACAACTACCTTAAAGCTGACTGGGACTCTTTCCGTGATTTTCTTTGTGATGGCCTTAGGGTAGAAATCTTTAGTCTTCTTGTTGACAAATGTGCTTCTTACATAACTTCGTGGATTCAGGCTGGCATAGAATCTTTTATTCTCTCTCAACGATTCCAGGTCAAGCCTCACTCTTCTCCATGGTTTTCTTCACATTGTGCTGCTGCAATTGCCAATCGAAACTGTTACTTCCATATCTATCAGCAAAACAATTTTCCAGAAAACAGATGTCTGTTTATTACTGCTAGGAACCATTGTAAAAAGGTTTTACCTAATGCCAAAGCCCGCTATTTTCAGATCATCAAATCTTGTATTTCAACTCAAAAATTAGGCTCTCGTGACTTCTTTAATAGTATCAATAATAAGGGCAAGTCTGTAATTCCACCTCTTTTGTATGGTTCATTTTTCATCAATATCATTTCTTGATTCCATTAGTTGCGTTCTACCTGATATAGCTGTCAAACAGGTTGATCCATTGCTTGACATCTGTATCACTCCAGCTTCTGTATCTAAAGTGATTTCCTGCTTAGACTCTTCTACAGCTTGCAGCCTGGACAGCGTACCTGTTATAGTCTTGCAGATAAAACTCAATTTTTTTCAGCCAATCATTATCGCAATAATTTAGACCTTCCTATATTTATGAACAGTAATGTACTCGATGAGTCATCTTCCCTTCATATTCTAGGATATATATCATAATATAAATTGTCTCTGTTCACACTTTAATACAACTTGATAAATGTAATCTAGCTCTTATACTTTAATAAAACTTAATCTCAATGTAAAATCTAAAAAAGATAAAGTAAAACTTACAATTTTTTTTTTCTTAAAGCATAACTTTATTGTGTTTTATTTTTAAAGTTTATTTGTAAAAAAAAACAACATAAGAATCTGTAAAAGTAAAAAAAAAATCTACAAACTAATCTCAAAAAACCCACAATGTACCTTTGAGAAGAAAAACTTTAATTTAAAATCTCAATTTATTTATTAATATATAAATTTATTTGTGGATATGGATAGGAGCTTATAAACCTTGGAAGGAATCTTGGAAGGTATTCAACATCCAATAGTAGTATAAAAATAAATATTATCATTCCTGGTTTGCAAAATAACACTGGTAAAAGCATCTTGTTGTAAAAAGTTGTTTTTACTGTTCCTTAATGTCATATTTAAGTTAGAAAGTAGCATTAAGGAAACTTGTCCAAATCATGGATGGAGTAATGTATGTAAGTATTCAAAAATCCTCTCAGTTGCAGTTATACCCCATTTAACTCTGAAACATGAACCTTAATGAGCAAGATCACTGCCCTGATAATTAAATTAAGCTCAGTACTTCCAAGTCATAGTTTCATAATGGATTTGAACTCTGTACCTATTGCATATTAAGCAAGCGCTTTATCATAATAGTATTGCCACACTATATATGTATTTATTTATTTTAGCCGCCCTGTCCTGCTGATAAAGCTAACATATTATCTAAAATATTTTTTGGATGGGTGACCAGGTAAAAATATTTATTCATAATTGTTCTATTATATTTTCTAAGATTATTCAGATTCTTTAAAAAAAAATCAAGATTTAAAAAAAAAGAAAGATATAAAATAGTAATTTAAAAGTTTTTCAAAATGAAATATTTTATAAAAAACATTTTCAACTTGACTTTTGCATTTTGATAAGAAAAATAATTTTTTCATAACAATGCAAAACAGTTAAGAATAATTCCCTGCCGAAGTCCAACATAGACCACCTCAGGTTTTAATGAAAATTGGTGGCTTGGTTTATATCAACAAGAAAACTAATTTGTATAAGTTTGTTTTTTTGTGTTTCATGAGATTCATTTTTAGAAAAACATTGTCATTTGAAATTTCTGATTTTTCCAAAAATAAAAACTTTAGTAGCAAAAACATGACTTTAAAGTTCTATTTAAAAAAAAGTTTTTGGAAACCTTCTAGTTTTTTTTTATTATATGCAACTCTAGACTTTTAACGATAATGACTACCTAAAAACCTAAAAAATTCTATGCAAATAGAAAAAGTTGATTTTTGACAAGTCAATATACAAAATAAGCAATTTAAGAAGTGAAAAGAAACATTATTTTGCTTTCTATATATGTTAGCAGTGCACAAAATAACAGGCAGTCAATAGTTAACCGCCACCCAAAATGACCAAAATTGCATAATCAAAAATTGAACCGAAATAAATTGTTTCCCGTAGTTGATTGGTTAAAAAAATTTGAGTTTTAAAAAATGAAAAAAGTTTGAGTTTTAAAAAAAATTTGAGTTTTAAAATTTTTTTTACTAACAAATACTATGTGTTTTGGAATTACTAAATATTCGTAACATTCAAAGTATTTTAGACTTAAATATTTTAGATGTTATGATTAATCACTAATCACTCAAACTTATTAATAAAGTTTAAATATTAAGAACATACTTTGTAAAGCATTAATGAGTAAAAAATTACAAAAAAATTTTGAAATTAAAATTTTTAATTTTATAAAAGTTTAGTTATTTGTATAAAAAGTTAAATTTTAAAAAGTTAAATGTATCCGATTTTAATCAGCGCATGTAAACTGTTTTAGATCAACATTATTTCAAACTGTTAATTGTAGCATTAGTTATTAACCTTACATATTTTATTATTTATTTATTATTATATTTTATTATTTTATTTACCTTAAAACTTTGTTGTGAGTTTCCCTTGCAAAAAAAGGGACAATTCGATTTAAAAATATGTCAATGTAATATATTTAAAGTATAAAGTATTTTTTTTATTTACATTGTTTAGTAAATTTTATAAAACAAAAATTGAAACACTGGAAAAAAATTTAATTGAATAAAAATAGTTGACCATCAACTCTATGTGTTAGCTGCCCAAACTGACCTACATTAACTACAGAACAATTTTTTATTTTGTGCCTTTTGGTAGGTTTTCTAATTTTTAGAAATTTGCTGATAAGATTAAATTCAGTAAGTATAGACTCCTAAATATAGTTTTGACTAAAACTTAAAAAAGTTTTTTTCAAACCACAGGTGTTGTTTACTATATTTCCTATTGTTTCTTTCCTTTAAACCACAGGTGTTGTTCCAATCTTTAAAAACTCTGGAGAACATTCTGACCCCTCCGATCAGTCTTCTTTCTGTTATTAGTAAGGTCTTTGAGTCTTTGATCAACAAATTTAAATATAACAATATAACAATATAATAAACATATAAAAGGCCTAAATAACATGTCCTCGTTCAAATGGCAAACAAAATCTTGACATAAATCATTCAGCAATCTTTTCTGGTCTTTTTTTTTTCTTCTCTTTTTTTCTTTACTTGTTTTATTATTTTTTTTATTTTGCAATAATAATTTCTTAGTTAAAAACTTTAGTGCATTAGGGAAACAAATTTTATGTGTTTTTATATGTGTTAATATATATATATATATATATATATATATATATATATATATATATATATATATATATATATATATATATATATATATATTAGGTGTTATATTAAATGTAATTTAAAAAAAATGGTTGTTTAAGAGAATCTATGGTCTTCACTCAGTATGCATTAGTGAGTATCACCAAAATGCAAAACTTTTAGCATTAAAAATACCTGATATTTCAGACTGTTAAGATCTCTTCAGATTAATTATGTGACTTAACAAGTTGTGACTGCATGCTTCACAGTTGCAATAGCTCCCCAAATACCAACACACTAAAAGTGTATTTTACTTTTTTAAAAGAAATCACCTTCAGTCAAAAGCTAGTGACAAAAAGCTAACAAAAAACTTTATATTTCTTCAGTAACTCATCTAGGGATGATTTTATTGAAAAATCTAGTCAACAAATAGTAAAATCCAAGATTTTATGCCAAAAAATATGTCAACATTTTACTAAAGGAATTCTAGAGTTCTATATAATAAAAAAAAATATTTTTTAAAATTTTGTTTTTAAAAATAGAGCTCCAAAGTATAAACAAAACATGTTTTAGCTATTGAAGTTTTTGTTTTTGGAAAAATCAGAAATTTCAAATGACCATATCTCATGAACCACAAAAAGTTTCATACTGAAATTTTCAGGAGTTAATTTTCTCATTGATTTGACATGATTGACAAGTCTCCAACTTATAATTTTCTCATTGACAAGTCTCCAATTTGTAATTTTATCATTGATTTGACATGATTGACAATGATTGACCAAAGTCACCAAATTTGATCAAAATCTGAAGCAGTTCGTTTTGAAATCCTAAAACTTTGATCCATTTACCATGCAACAACCCTTAAGTGGAAATTGTTTTCATTATAGATTTCATTATAGTATTAAATGTTTATGTTAGTAAAAATTGTTTTTTCAAGTTTCAGTTTTTTTAAAAGATTCAATAATAAACATATCCAACAAATGTTATAGATAAAACTATAGCTATGTTATATTACTCAAAAAAAAACTTAAATACAATTTATAACTGAGTATTATATCTGTATATAAAAAAAATTATAAATATTGACAAAAATTATTTTAATTTATTGTCAGCTAAAATATATTTGAATAAAAACTTCTTTTTATGGATGCACATTTTTTTTTAACTCAATGTATCTTATAAGTAACACAATGTTAAATAAAACCGTAATTAGAACCATGAAAAAAAGTAAAAAAAAAAAGACTATGATGATGATGCTGACAGCAACAATTTTTTTATGTTTTAGACTAATAGTTGATGGATTTAAAAGACCATTAGAAGATAGCGATCTATGGCAGTTGCAAGAAAGGAACACTGCACAATATCTTGGTTTGAAATTTGAAAAATACTGGAAACAGGAGATGGATAAGCAGAAAAAGTAGTTAAAAAATTTGATCAAGTTTAAACTTCTGTGATTCAATTATTATAATTATTATTAATTATAATTTATTATAATTTATTATAATTATTATTAATCTTATTTATCTTATCAGATAATCTTCAATTATTTTAATTAAGTTACTTTTTAATTAATATTGAAAAATAATTTTAATTTTTTAACCTTAATAAACAAAATATTTATTTCTTACAAATGTTTTATAAATATTTTTAATAATCTTTTTAAAACTTTAATTTTTAGTAGTCCCATAGTAGAAAAAATTTTAAAGCAAAAAGATGAAGAAAAGAAAGAGTTTCGTAATCCTGATTCACCAAAGTCTATAAAGTTTCATAAATACAAGCCATCTGTTTCAAAAGCATTATTTAAGACATGTGGAAAACCTTATTTAGTTGGATCTTTCATGAAAATTTTATATGATTGTACTTTATTTGTGCAACCTTGGTTATTAGGGTTAGTGAAATATTTCTAATTACTAGAATAAATTGCTTTTTGTTATTAGGATATATTTTCTACAAATCACCCTTTAAAGTTAGCATATTATCCAAGGCTGATTATTTGAGCATACAGCATTTTGCATATAATTTTATAACTAATCCTATTTGTTCTTTAAAGAAATAAGAAAAAAAAAAATTAAAATGAAAAATGCATTATAAACTGAAAATGCCATTCTTTATTCAAATTCATCTTTATTCAAAAGATATAATTTAGTAGAAAAGGTCTTAATAAGAAGATAAAGGAAGTAAGCCTGATTCTGATTGAAAATATAAGAGATAAACAGTTTGTTTTAGATTCTTTTACCTAATGATTTTCAGGCCAAAAATTAGAACTTGTCAGACTAGTCTAAATAAATCTATTTCTGAAAAAAATGTTAGCCTTGATAAGTTGCTTGTAGTTATTAAACTAATTTACTCACATCAAGGCTGCAAGCAACCCCTATTTAAGTTAGGAGTTACCAGAATAAGATTGTTAAGAATGGAGTTTATAGTTGTGTCGTCAGCAAGATTTATTTAGATTTATCATTAATATAGGCGAGAAACTACTCAAGGTTCTATCCACCTTGTGATACTCTAGAAGTTACTAGAAATGAAAGAGAATGTTGCCTATCAAGGACAACTTTAATACTGCAATTAATTAATCAATAATCTCGAAAGCATTCCTCGATAAGAAGGAAGCTTATGGAGAAAACCAGCATTCCAAATTTTATTAAAATCAGCTAATGCTGATTTCAAGCATTAAAAAAAAAAAATCCAGTTAAGCATAAATTAAATAGTTTGGTGAGTAATGAAGAACAAGTGTTCTGGAGAAGGCTTTTATAAGACTGTGACAGAAATCTAGACCACAAGCTGTCTAGACTACATTGAATTAACTTGTTTAGTTAGAATGATAGGAGTGTGGCCAATAAATTCAACAGAGGAGGGAAAGGTAATAAGATCAGAGTCGTGCATTAAAAATAAAATGACAAACTTTGTCTATTGTTGATGATTTTCTTCAACAATAAAGTTGAAGTCTCTAGAACCTAACTTTTGAGGTAAAATGAACCTAACTTTTGAGGTAAAATGTAACATTTTAGTAATCTGCAAATAAGGGACCTTAGAATTCTTTTGCATCAATTTCTTGCTATATAAAAAAAGACATTTTATTCCAGAGAAAACTCTAATCAGTAAAAGATTGAGAAGGATAAAAAATTTAAGTTTTATAACCAACAAGTTCAATGATAGAGAGCCAAGCCATTTTGTGTAATTAGCATTAAAGTCACCATGACAACATTATTGGCTCATAGAAAATAACAAAAATACAGTCTTGGGGAGAACGAAAATAATATATAATACAAAAAAAAAAAAAAAAAAAAAAATTGAGTGAAGAGGAGCAAAAGCATATATAAGAATAGACAAAAGCATATATAAGAATACTCAGAGAATTTAAACATGACATTTCAACAAATTGGTGAGTTGATATGTATGTATATGCCCACATCAAGCATGTGACAATTACAATCTTTGCAAGTCAAGTGATAATATCTGCACAACTACATACAACTGGCGTATATTTACACATATGCTGGCCTGTTAGATGAAAAACTGTGGTGCAGAACTGATCAACAGAACTTTTCTGCTAACCCTTAAAATTTTGCTCAAGAGGCCTAATATGAGGCAGTAGCTAGATGCAGTTAACATCCGCCCAAGAAGAGTTATTTTATTGATAACATCTCTAGCTTTTACTCAACCAAGAACCCCAAGGTAAGCCGCAACCTGGAAAATAACGCCGGTCAATGGTCAATGACCGCCTGAAATGACTATTTTGACCTCCCAAAATGAATTCTTGCTGGTCATGGTTGACAAGTTAAAAAAAAAATTAGAGATTTAAAACAACATTTGACAAAAAATCATTGTTATTTGGAAAATGCAAATAATAAAATTTTGATAAACTCTTTTAATTTTGTAAAAGGGTTTTAAATAGTTTTCTTGTTTATGATACGCTACTTTAATTGCTAGCAAGTCGTTAAACCGAAAAGTTTGAAAGCAAATAGAAGTTAAAGCAAATTTTTTCTTCAATTCTTTTATTTTGAATACTGCCTGGTTTTTATCTTTGTTTTCGAAACGTACAAATAAATTTACTTTTTATAAATATAATTCAAAAAGTTAAAATTAATAACTTATAATTAGTTTATATCAATATAATTCAATAATTAAAAGTTAATAATTTATTAATAATTTAATATTATTAATTCCGCTACTTACAATTAGGGCCACCAAGAGCTGTCATGCCGCCTGGGGCAGCAGTCCTGATTGGTGCCCTTATTTATCAAATTTTCCATATATTATATATGAAGGACCTTTTTTTTTTTAGGTCCTCACATTTCATTTGGCACCCCTTAGATATCTGCCGCCCAGGAAAAAACTGTCCTGGTGCCTCCCTCACGGCGGCCCTGCTTATAATATGTTTGAGTATAAATAAAATTTATCGTTGTTAAAACTTTCATCTAATAATTATTGCATATTAATAGAAACCAGCTTTAACAACCCTGAACTCATTAATTTTCTTTGTGTATGTATGTATCTTTGTGAATGTATTGCTCAAGATTTACGTAACGTATACGTAACGACGTAAACTATAATCATTGTAATCTTAAGTTTTTTGTTTCTTAGTAAAAATCCTTTTTTCTTAAATGATTGAAGTTCTTTTTTATTACTATTTTAATATAAAAGTTTTATGTTTTATTTTGTTGATAATATAATAATATAAAATAAATTATGCTTTTAATTATAAACAATTTTTCACTCATCTGCACTTAATTTGTTAAGTCTTATTATTTATTTCCTCATAAGTTTTGCAGCAAATTGCAAATAAATAAATGGTTTATAGATAAATTAAAAATTACTAATCGAGCTTTTTTTTTTTTATTTAAAAATCTCGTTTTATGTAAGTTTAATAGTTTTTATAGTGTTTTATTAAACAAATTGTTTATTATTTTAAAATTTGTTTCATTAAACAAATTGTTTAATACAAAGAAGACGAATGTTTAAAAATATTTAAAGTATTAAACATTCAGTTTAAACAGTTTAACTTAAACTGTTTAAACTTGAAGTTGCAAACAAGAGTTAGTAACATTATTATTAACTAATTAACATAATATGTTATGTTAATTAGTTAATAATATGTTATTTTTAACTAATTAACATAACATGTCACTACATGTTACCCCTAGTTCACTTCACCCCAGTTTATCCTACGCGTTAAAAAAAATAATTTTATGAGTATTTTTTTCATAAAATTGTTTTCAATTTAAAGAATGATTAAGAAAAATCACGGATACACATCAATTTAAAAAAAAAGTATAGTATATCAATTTAATAAAAAAGTATAGTAGTAAAAGTATATAGGCTATTAAGAGCAAATTTAAATAAAAATAAAAGTTAAAAATTTTAAGATTTACCTAGATAAAGCCTTGTTACTTGGGCACTATTTAGTGCATTTTTGACCCTTGAGCACAAGGTAAATTTTAATTTTTTTGATTTTTTTTTTTGTAATTATTTTTTCTATATTTTAGCCCAAATTTAGCTTGTTGTGTATTCGCGTTTTCAAAGTTTTATTTTTTTGAACACCCCTAATATTTAAACATAACCTTGTTTATGAAAAGCTACTTTAATTGCTAGCAGGATGTTAAAGCAAAGTTTGAAAGTAGTCGAATAGAAGTTAAAGTGAATTTTTCTTAAATTCTTTTATTTTGAATACTGCCTGGTTTTTATCTTTGTTTTCGAAACGTATAAATAAATTTACTTTTTAAAAATAAAAGTAAAAAAATTAAAATTTAAAACTTGTTATTAATTTATATCAATATAATTCAATAATTAAAAGTTAATAATTTATTAATAATTTAATATTATTAATTCACTACTTATAATATATTCGAGTATATATAAAATTTATCATTGTTAAAACTTTCATCTAATAATTATTGCATGTTAAAAGAAACCAGTAATTTTTTTGCCTTAACAACCCTGAACTCATTAATTCTATTTGTGTATGTATGTATTAACTTTGTGAATTGCTCAAGATTTACGTAACGTATTAATTGAATTGAATTACGTAACGTATTAAATGAATTGCTCAAGATTTACGTAACGATGTAAACTATAATCATTATAATCATAAGTTTTTTGTTTTAAGTAAAAATCCTTTTTTCTTAAATGATTCAAGTATTAAAAATTCTTAAATAATTAAAGTATTAAACATTCAGTTTAAACAGTTCAACTTTAACTTTAAGTTGCAAACAAGAATTAGTAACATTATTATTAACTAATTAATATTAGCTTTTGAAAAGCTTTTAATGAGCAAGAGATATAAAATGTGCGAAAGTATTTCTTCTTTACCTTCAGAGATTCATTTCATTATTATTCAAAATTATTATATATAATTAAGAACATAATCTCAACTGAACTTTTTTTTTATTGAATCTTTTTTATTATTTTTCGTGCAACTTTTCCCGCCATTTACGAAGTCATTGCAATGAAATCAATTATTTTGAAATAAATTAAAAATTATAAATTAGCTGTTTGCATTTTTAAAAAAGCATTAATTTTATTTAAAATTGCTATTATCAAAACAATTTTTTATTCTTCAAGCCTTATCCCTTCAAGCCTTAACTTTTTTTTGGATTTATAAAGTTTAGTCATGAAGAATGGTTCAGGTTCATTAAAGCGAAAAAAAAAAAAACGAGAAAAAGTTACTGGTTTCTATTAGCAAACTTTAACTATTAGAATAATTTTTTAATAAAATATTTTTTTATATATTTAAATTAACTTAAAAGTATTAAAATTAGTAATATTTTTTAAATTTATATAATTAATATTTTTATATAGTTAATAATTTTGAAAAAATTTTAAAAAACAACATTTTAAAAAAAAGATAAAAACTAGGCTATATTATATTATAAAAGAACAAAAACTTTTTTTGTTGATTTAAACAAAGAAAAAAGAAAAAAAAATTTGACCGCCCAAAAAAAACAATTGACCGTCAATTACTTAAGTTGGCCGGTCAAATTGACCGCTGGCCTTCAATTCCTTATTTTCCACGCTGAAGCAGTATTTTAATTTCTCTTAAACTTTGCCTATTAAAGTGAGTTCTACAAGGTAGATGGTGGGTAAGGTAGATGGTAATGTGGCTGGTGATCAGCGGATCACCAGCCACCTTACCATGAATGTATACAGCGCTATACATTCTACATGTATATTCTACAATAGGATCTAAGACATGTACTTTATTACATGTTACCATTAGGTGACTATGATGATCTTAGTCCTGACCTAACCTTAAAAACTTAAACATATTACTAGATCTTATTTCTAGATCTTATTACTGAACCAAACTAGTGGAACAAATCATTGGCACAGAACACTGAAACAAAATAGTGTTAAACTACCTAAAACCTTTTACTGTAGGGGTTTAGTTAAAAAAAATTTCAAAAACCTTTCGAGAAAATACCAAAAATAGCAGTTTTTGATATTTTCTTATTTTGAAAAGACTAAAAATTGCTATTTTCGAGTATGTTCTATATTGCAAAAGCCTTGTCATTTTTTTTGCCATATTCAGTTTTGATAATTTCTAAATTGTTTTTTAAAGAGAGATTCAATATTTATGACTAAAACTTATTTTTTGATTTTTGACTGAAAAGTTAAAATTTTTATGGCATGTGATGTCATACTAACATAAATAAAATTTAAAGTATTCTCTTATAATTCAATATGTTACCGAAAATAGAGACAAGTTTCATGAAGATCGCTTTATTACTTTGGATTTAAAAAGTTTTAAATTAGTTAGCTCAAATAATGTAATCTTGACTCTAGGTATATAATAAAAAAACAGGAGTTTATGGGTTTAATGTCAACCATAAATTGAATTTATAAATTAAGTTTTAAAACTTCTTTTTATAAAAATTCTTTTTATGGATTTAAAAACAGCTGTAATAATACATAATCTAAAATAAATATTTCTTATAAATAATAATTAGTACCTATAAATTAAATTAAATACAAATAAATATAAGTATGATAAAAAATAATAAAGTTAATTAAAACCAATTTATTTTAATTTTAGAACAATTTTCCAAATGTCAGTTAAGACTACAAAAATATAATGTGCATTAATTGCATTCAAATACTAAAAAAAAAGTTTTTATTTTTATTTTTAAAAGTTTTAAAAATATTTTATAAATACACATTAACACATGCTGCTAAAAGATTTGCAATAGCATATTATTTATTTGCAACAATTTTAAGCTTTTAAACTTTTGTTACCTTTTTAATTTTTTTAAAGTTTATCAACTTTTTTTATTGGTTTTTTTTTTTAATCTTTTTTTTATTTTTTTTAACTTTTTTTAAACTTTAATTCATGAGATTTTTTAACTTTAACACATTAACGAATAAAAATATTTTTTAACATAAATGAGTTTATTGATTTTTTCTCTTAGGAAAACCATTGAAGTTATTCAAAACAGAAATATTGATAGCAAATTAGGATATCTTTATGCATCTATGTTATTTGTAACAGGCTTAGTTGGTTCTATCATTTTACAGCAGTATTTTCATATTTCGTTTGTAACAAGTATACGAGTACGATCGTCACTGTTAACAGCAGTTTACAAAAAGGTAAACATAATCAATTATCAAGAATGAAAAGTTAAATAGTTTATTATATTATTACATTTATTTAATATATCTGTTTATTATCATTTATATATTTACAAATGTATTGTATTTGCATATATTTGTTTATATATTACGAATATATTATTTTTGTACATTATTTTTACAGTTTAGTAAATAATTAGTCTTTCTAATAGTTTATATTAGATACTTTGATTAAATCAAAAGATTTTTGGAACTCATGGATCAATGGATCAGGGTAGTAGACTCCTTAACTCCATACTTCAACATTCTATATTGCAGGAATCAGCTCTAAAACAATCCAAACTTCAGGATTCCACTCTCTAGGGCTCCCAGTAACTCTTTTTAGGTTTATTGATTGAAATACACAACATTACACTTAAATACACAACATTACACTTGAAATGTATGTTTTTTGGTTGATGTCTTCCATCTTTTACTAAAAAATGTGCTTTATGTGTTTCTTATAAATTCTAACAGGTGAAGAAAATTTTTTTTCTTTTCACGAGTAAGAATAAAAGCTTTGAAATTCAAAAAGTCTCACTCTTATTTATGACTTTTGCTGCCCAGAAAAATTCACCTAAAAACATTTTTATTAAAAAAAGTTCACCCAAAAACATGTTTTAAAAAAAGTTCACCTAAAAACATATATTTAAAAAAAGATCACCTAAGAGCATACATTTTAAAAAAAGTCCAGTAATCAGCGCAGAATGTTTTTCTTTAAAAAACATTTTTTTTGTAACAATTTTGAATAAAACAAGTTTTACTCAAAATTGACTCATGGTTTTTGAAACTTGTTTTATATGTTTATTCTTATGTATTTTAGTAAATGAAAAAGACGAGATTTTTACAAAGAAATTTTAAACTTATCTCTTAATCATAATGTCCACTTACTTTTTGAAACTTCTGTTAAATTCAGTTGATGGATTATTAGATTTTTTAATTATCAATGGTTAGTATACTTTTTTATTTTGACCCTTCTAAAGCTTTCTGTTGTGATAATGAGAAGAAATTTCATTGTATTAAAAACATATTGTTCATAAACTTAACACATTAATCTGTTGCAAAATCCACCGGGACTCTTCATTATCTTGTATGAGAATCTTTGTATAACTTGTCGTCATTAATATTATTCTGATGTGTCAATTTTACATAGAAGATTTTTAATTATTGAGGCTGACTTATTGATTGCATTCATTGTTTTTCTATTTATTTGAAGATTGAGAGAGTCTATTTTCTATTTATTTGAAGATTGAGAAGATATTAATTTTTTGAAGAAGAGTGTCTATGATTGCAGGAAAAACAAAGAAATTCCAATTTAGAACATTTACTAGTTTTTCATGACCTTCTGAGCTTCTTGACCTTCTGAGTCTGAGTTTTGTCTTTGGAATTTAAAAGAGTTTTTCATGGCCTTCTGAGCTTGAGTTTTTTCATGACCTTCTGAGCTATGTCTGAGTTTTGTCTTTGATGGAATTTAAAAGAGAATAGAACTAGTAGGATCATTTTGCCTTTTAGATACCATGTATGTCTTTTTATGTAAAAACATAAACAGAAGCTTAAAAAGAATCTTAAAAAGAATCTTTTCTTTGTTAAGCTATCCAACAGGCTTTGTGGAAGGCACCTTGTTTATAGAAAGCAAATCTATTTGGTTATTGTCAGTTTCCAAAGTTCCGAATAGTCACTTTTTTGGTTGCCTCTTAATTTGATAGTTGAACAAGGAATAAATTGCAGACCAATGAATAAAATGTAGACCTCATTCTTTATTAACCAAGTATCCAGATATTGGTACAAATAGTTTTCTACTTGTCTTGTCAATTTTAGTCCAGTTTATTTATAGAATCTTTTTTATTTTTGTTTTGTTTTGTGGTTATTAAGGTGCTCCCAAAAGTCTTTACAGATTTTTCCATGTAGACATTTAGAAGTGTTTCCTATAATAGAAAATAACATAAATCTGTGACAATTTATCTTTAGTGCTTTTCCATTCCAACAAAGTACTGCATAATGAAGACTTCATAATTCTCTCTAATGCTTCTTTTTTTTTTAAAATATGTTTAGAGTGCATTTAAATGTTGATTTACTCAGAGATTTAATAGTTGATTTAGTTCATTTTAGATCTTCTTTCTTTGAGATTTCTGTTTTCTTTATGATGATTATGCCAAGTTGTAGAATTGTTTTGTAGTTTCACAATCTGCTGCTAACATTATCTATTTTTGTAGACTAATGGAATATTTGTTGTCTGTTTTTATACCTAAACACATCTTTCTCACTAATCTTTGATCAAGTTAAAAAGTCAATTTCTTCCTTCTTTGAAGCTACAGAACAAAAGCATTAGTTTAGAATTATTTTAGTAGCATTAGTTGGTTTCAATTGTTTCATTAACTGCAGAAATTCACAGAGCTTCATCATATTTTTTTTCGAATTATTTTTAACTTTTAAAATCTTAGTGAAAATTATAAAGATTTCTGACAATGTTTATCTAAAATTTCAATGCTTCAATAATCTCAAATTTGAATGCCTCAATAATCTTAAATTTGATTATAATATATATTTATAATTATATATTTATAATGATTTTAATATTTTGAGTTTTATTTAAATAAAAAAATGGAAAAATTTATTGAATATATATAGAGTTGCAACCCCAAAAAAAACGGTGTTTTTTTTTTAAAAAAAACACGTTTTTTTTTGCAAAAAAAACAGACTGGTTCTAAAAACATGTTTTTTATAGTTTTTTTTGCTTTTTTTTAGTATTCATTAAATTTTAGATAATAATAATACTTGAAACAGTTCCAGTGCCCTTAAACCTACAAAATACAAATGTTTTCTATTTAATAAAATGGATATTAACTTATATAATAGCTGTTACAAACTAATCACCAATATTAAAAAAAAACAGTATTAAATATTTAAAAAAATAATTTTTTAAATAAATCTCAAAAAAACTATACTATTAGCTACTAGTTGATTGTAAGTATAATACTACTGAATGAAGGAAATAAAAATGTTATTTTAGCAGTGTTATTTCATTTATAAAAATGAATGAAATAACACTGCATTGCAAAATACAAAAATGAAGCAACTGTTAAATAAAATTTACTTTAATGTTTATTTACTTTTGTATATTACTTTTTTAAATTTTTAATATTTAATTTCTTTATTTTATTTTAAATTGCAATTAGATAGCTAAAATTTTATTTATTCAAACAATATTCAAGTAAATAAAAATAACACAATGATTAACTTTGTCTAATGAAAAAACATTTATATTAAACAATTTGTAATCTATTAATTATTTTTAATTAAAAAAAAAAAAAGAAATCTAAAAAAAAATATGCCAGGCAGAAAGAAATGTTTTGTAGCTACATTGTTCAATGAGGCACCTTTAGAATCTGGAGGTTCTAAAATTCAACAAGTTATATGCAAATTTTGGAGCTTAAAGCTATCAAAAAATGGCACTCGAATGACTGAGCACATTGCAAAATGTATGAAATGTGGCGATCAAATAAAAAACAAATATTTGAACGATATGCCTTTTAAACAGAAGAAAGTTCAAACTGAACTAATGATGGAAGAAGATATTCCTGAAAACTTACCTATTCAAGATATGAAAAAAGAGAAAAAAATATGTTTATCATCTGCTATTCCACAAGTTCCAATTGAGTCTTTCTTTCCAGCACCAAGCTGTTTTGGAAACCAAAGTAGGTCTACAACCCCTAAGTTTGGAGACTGTAAGGCAAATAAAACCAAATCAGATAAGTCTCCCTTAAAACGATTGTATTCTTCAACAAGAGTTCCATTCACAACTCAGAAAAATAAAATTGCATCCTACATTTTAGGAGAGTACAAGAGTTTAGAGTCAGAGTTATCAAGCGACTCTGAAGAATACGGATTTGACTTTACAATAGAAGACCTTAATGAACAAGAAAGCCAGAATACAGAATCTGTTATTAATTAAAAATAAATCTTTTAAATGATGTACTATATATTTACCATATATCAGGTTATTAATATATATTATATTACATTTATAATAAAAATAAAAATTAAATAAAAGTAAATAATTTTTTTTTTAATCTAAAAAACAAAAAAAACCATAAAAAACACAAAAAACACAAAAAAAACATGTTTTTTTTGCAAAAAAAACACAATTAAAAAAAAACGGTTTTTTTTGCAACTCTAAATATATATATATATATATATATATATATATATATATATATATATATATATATATATATATATATATATATATATATATATATATATATATATATATATATATATATATATATGTATATATAAATAGTATATAAATATATACTATATATAAATAGAATATAAATATACTATTTAAATATTTCTACTGTACTTAAATATAAATTTAAGAATATAAATATACTTTTTTAGATGTTTCGATTAAATAATTTTGGTAGAGTTGACTTTACTGTTGGAGAAATGGTTAACCTAATGACAGTTGATACACAAAAGTGCTATGATCTCCTAACATATCTTAATGTTCTTTGGTCTGGTCCATTTCAAATTATAGTTTCATTTGTCTATCTTTACTTATTAATGGGATGGTCCATTCTTGCAGGTTTTGGTGTGTTGCTTTTTTTTATACCAATAAGTAGTTGTTTTTCAACATTTGAAAAGAAGTTCCAAGCAAAGCAAATGGTTTTCAAAGATCGTCGATCAAAATTTATGAATGAGATACTTGCGGGGATAAATATTTTAAAGTTATACTCTTGGGAAGATAGTTTTATTGCAAATATACTGAGAATAAGGAATGGTGAACTTAAACTCATCAAAAAAGCTATGTTATTGCAAGCAAATCATGGTTTTGCATTAACACTTGCCCCTTTTTTGGTATCATTTTTAACTTTTTTAGTTTATGTTATGCTTGGTAACAATTTAACTGCTGAGAAGGCTTTTGTAGCTATATCACTTTTTAATATAATTAGATTTCCGTTGTTTCTTTTACCTATGGTCATTGCAAATATTGCTCAGTTTAGAGTTTCAGCTAAAAGGTTATCAAAATTTCTAAAGAGTGAAGAGTTAGAACCAGTTTTAGAGTCAGATGATATTAATAGTAAAAATGCTATCGAAATATGCAATGGAACATTTAAATGGAGTGACACAGGTGATGCTATTTTACAAAACATTTCACTTAAAATTCCTTGTGGTAGTTTAACAGCAATTGTTGGCCAAGTTGGTTCCGGAAAGTCGTCGTTAGTTTCTGCAATACTTGGTGAAATTAAGAAAGTTAGTGGTGAAGTGCTTGTAAAAGATAGCATTTCTTATGTCTCCCAACAACCATGGATTCAAAATAGAAGCTTTCGTGACAATATTACTTTTGTGAGCGATTATGAAAGTAATCGATATAATAAAGTTGTTGATGCTTGTGCATTGAAACCTGATATTAACTCATTACCAGGTGGGGATCGAACTGAGATTGGTGAGAAAGGAATCAATTTGAGTGGTGGTCAAAAACAGCGTATCTCGATTGCTAGAGCTGTTTACCATAATTCAGAAATATATATTATGGATGATCCTTTGTCTGCAGTTGATGCTCATGTTGGAAAGCATATCTTTGATCAGGTTATTGGAAGTAATGGACTATTAAATAAGAAGGTACAATTTAATTTTATTAATGTTTTTTTTTTTATTATTGTAATTTTTTGATATGTAAATTTTTTATAATTATAGTTACTTTTTTATTTTTATCATTTCAATGCTTTTCTTGTTGAATAATTTTATTTTCAAATCAAAATAAGCTGCAGATGTACAAATATATTCTGAATTGTGTAAATAACATAGTTGCTTTGAAACATGAACCTTCCCCTCCCCCTCCCCCAACAAAATACACTTGTATCGATTTTTAGAACCAGACTACCGTATGGTATTCAAGATCAAAAAATTGAAAATGTTGGTCATCATAATAATCTCAGTTTTAAATTGAATCATGATCGTTTTTTTTTTTTTAATATATAAAAGAAAAAAAGAAAACCTCAAACAATAAAATGCCATTGATCAAATTTTGATATGAACCCTGTCATAAATAAAGCCAGCAAAGAACATAATTTGACATGCATTTATTTGGCAGAAAGTACTACTAATACTAATAACTACACTGATTAAACTCCAACATTATCTAAAAGGCTATGTTTCACTGACAAAATAAAAATAAAAAGTCAAAGCCTTAATATCTAAAATTAAGAAGTAAAGAAATCAGCTCATTACAAGGATAGTTTTTCTTTTAAAAATATAAAAATTTTCCTTATTATGCTGTGACTGTTTTAAGTAAAGTTTTAAGTAAAGATGCTGTGACTGTTTTAAGTAAAAAGAGTTTTAAATACTTTGCCATTGTCATTGATGCTATGGCAATCAAAAACAGTATAAAATACAACAAAAGTTCAGGATACTATATTGCTTTTTGTGATTTTGGTAAGGATATTATTGTATGTGAACAGCTACAAAAGTTAAGGACATGTAAAAAAACCTATTGGTTATGCTTTGTTGCTATTGATTATGCTTTATTAAATAAAATTGCAGATTTAACAAGTTTTATTGAAAGCATTTTGAATTTCGTTTTAGTATATATATAGTTTTAGTATATATATAATTTTAGTATATATATATAGTTTTAGTATATATATAGTTTTAGTATATATTTATAGTTTTAGTATATATATAGTTTTAGTATATATACAGTTTTAGTATATGTATATAGTTTTAGTATATATATATATAGTTTTAGTGTATGATATATATAGCATATGAACTTTGTATTAAGAGTATTTCATTTGATGGTGCAAGTATTGATTTAAACTCTGTTATTCTCTTTAAATGTCAATTTGGCAAAAGAAATGATGACATTTTTGAATGGTAACAGCTGTTACATATTTTCCTAGATCTATGCCATGTGCTTAAATTTTGCTTGAAATTATTAAAATGATTTGGTGTCCTTATTAATGGTGATGGCTACTGTAAAAAACATTGCATTTGATTACAAACTTTATTTAAAATACAAGTTTGAAGATCTAAAATGAGCAAACTTTTAAGAAAAAATTGAATTTTATTAACATAAAATGAATTTAGTAATAGCTGGCGAAACACTTAGCACCACTGTGGCATTAAATTTTTAATAGTCTCAACATCATTCTTAGGAGCAAACAGTAAAATCCTTTCATTCAACTTATTGACAAATTATTTGACATGCTCAACTCAAAAAATGAAAATGGTTCAAGAAACCTCTATATCTTACTGACCATATCTGTTTGAAATATTTTTAAATGATGGAAATGCTTAGCTGTTGGAAATATTTTTAAATGATGGAGATACTTATCTGTTTAAAATATTTTTAAATAATGGAGATGCTTATCTATTGGAAGTATTTTTAAATAATGTAGAAATATCTGTTGGAAATATTTTTTAACGATGAAAAAATATCTGTTGAGAATATTTTTAAATGATGAAGAAATATCTGTTAGAAATATTTTTTTAAATGGTAGAGATGCTTATCTGAGCATATTGACTTATATTGATATAAATAGATTGTATAAATAGATGGCTTTTACATATAAGAATAAAAGTTTTTAGATTTTATTGATTGTGATGGTTTCACTGATTGTCATAGTGATTTCAATGATGGCGATGGTGGTTTCACTGATATGATTTAGCCCCTTTTTACTTTTTTTTTAAGCATTTTACTTTTTTTTTTTTTTTTGGAGACTTTTTTTTTAAGTTTTGCAAATTTTCTACTTCTCAAGACGACATTTTTATTTATTACTGTTTTTATTTATTACTGTTTTTATTTATTACTGTTTTTATTTATTACTGTTTTTATTTATTACTGTTTTTATTTATTACTGTTTTTATTTATTACTGTTTTTATTTATTACTGTTTTTATTTATTACTGTTTTTATTTATTACTGTTTTTATTTATTACTGTTTTTATTTATTACTGTTTTTATTTATTACTGTTTTTATTTATTACTGTTTTTATTTATTACTGTTTTTATTTATTACTGTTTTTATTTATTACTGTTTTTATTTATTACTGTTTTTATTTATTACTGTTTTTATTTATTACTATTTATTTATTTATACCAAGGTTTATAATTTATAAAACAATAGGTTTATAATATAATAATAATTCAAAATTTTTACTATTTTTGATGGTGGTTGGATTTGGTCTGAATAATTTATTGTTAGACGAAGTTGATTTAACTTTAGATAACTTGGTTCCAGTCTTTTTTCTGCAGTATTAGCAAATTTACAAAATCTGTAAGTTGCTATTCTTATTGCAGGCTTAGTTGTGCAGTAATATGACTTTACATAAAAGGCATGAGATATATTATGAAACATAGAATGTTTAAAAGTTGGTTTTGTTTGTTTGTTTGGATTGGTTTCTTTGCATTTATATTAAACAGGATTGACTTAATATATTTTAATCTTACAATTTGAGTTTGAATATGAAGTATCATTTAAAAATGATTAAAAATGTTTTTTTTAATCATTTTAAAATAATATAGTGTACGAAAATATTCAAATAATAATGATATTTAATAGTAAGAAATGATAATAAAATATAGAATTAGAAGATATAACTTGGTAAGTAAAAAGTAAAATAGAGAGTGAAAACAAATATTAGTATTAATTATATATATAAAAAGCAAACAGTATGAGAATTTAAAAAACAAAACAGTGAAAATGTTAAATTATAAAAACAAAAATTAAAAGCTTGCACTGAAAAATGTGTCTTTGATAAAAACTTGAAAAAGGAAGCAATAATGGACTTCTTTTATGTAAAATTTTTTTAATTACAAAGTTTAGTTTTAAATTTTTTTATTATTTTTGTTAAACTTTTCAATATTAAAATTTTTATTTTGCAAACTAAAAAAAAAAAAAAAAAATTGTATTTCTTTTGTATAATAAACCCTTAGAAAACATAAAATGATTTAGGACAATATTATCTATTTATTATACAATAAATTCCTGATAACTGAAAGTCTTTTAAATTTCCTGTTAAATCGAATTTTTCATAAAAGTCACTTTATAATGTCAACATTCACCAGACCATTATTTTTGTATTCAGACCATTATTTTTGTCCTTCTGAGGTTCAATTTATTGGATCTGTATTTTTTATTATTTTGTTGTAAAGTATTTGTTTTTTATTTTGTTTGACATTTTAATTATCAATATGGTATTATGATTTTGAACTGATAGCAGGCTACCTTGAGCATTTTGAATACCTTTTTAACTCCAGTTTTTTCTTGTGGATCTTCAGCTTTCTCTATTCTATTATATTTGTTATATAATTTTATATTTGTTTATATTTGTTATTTGACATTTTAATGATATAAGAGCATAATATTATCTATATTAAATTTATTAATAAATAAATTTAAATTTAATCACATGCTATATTTATATACGCTACTGTCTTAGTAATTAATACTACAGAATCATAAATATTTTAAGAAGAATATCAACTTAATGCAATGATAAGATTATTTTCTAAACTTTAAGTTTATGTTTTATTATTTTTAAGTATCAATGTATATGTGATGATGATTTAGTTGTAAAGCGCTTGCCTTATAAGCAAGAAGTTTAATCCCCACCATACCCCTGGTAGTGCTCAACTTTTTTCTTCAGGCAGTGGCCTTGTTTGTCAAGGTTCACATTTTAAAGTTATAGAGTTGAGAAAGGGTTGAAAGATTTAAACATTAGCTGCATATAACCACATATTTACTTTTTTGTGTGTGTGTTTATGTTGACTTTTTTGTATGTGTGTTTATGTTGACTTTTTTGTGTGCATGTTTATGTTGACTTTAAGTTTAATTACACATAACCTTAGATATTTACTTCTATTTTGTGTTTCAAACAATCAAAAAATTACAAATTTTTTCATATTTATTGTTTTTGTATTTATTTAGACCCGAATATTGGTTACGCATAACCTTACATATTTACCTCTTGTTGATCAAATCATTGTATTGAGTGATAATAAAATTTCTGAGGTATGGATTTATTTAATATATTCTTTTTTTATTCAAAAATTTAATTTTTATTGTTTATATTTTTGTGTTTCACTATGCATTATATCTTTGAACATCACTGTTGTACATCATTTTATTTGTAATAGAATGTTTGAGTATTTACACCTATACTTAAAAACAAAGTATAATTTTTAAGCTATATTAGTTAGGCCTTCAATTCAAAAAGGCCATTAATCATTTGTAATTTATATATGAGCCTATGCAGTTAAAAGCATAGCAAAAAAAATACAAGCAACTTCGAAGCTGCTGCCATTGTAATCATTTTCCAACATTTTTAATATTTCTATACTTAATGATGTTGTTACCCTAACAATATCATTAAGTATAGAAATATTAAAAATGTCAGTAACAAGTTTGTTTCATAAGGCAATGTTAAAAAAAATAAGTTTTGAGCTACCTAAAAATACCAAAAATAATTTTTTATAACTTTGTCTGAAAAACAATATTGGTTAAAGTTGGCCTTTTCAGATTTAAAGTTAGCAAAATACATTTATACAGTACCAACACAAAGTTGCAAGTTAAGCAATTTGCAGTCACACTAAGTCAATGTTTGCTGGCCACTAAAATCACAATTTATTTCTAAATACATTGTACCTTTTGTTAGGTTTATGGAATACACATTTTACAACAAGGTGTGACTTAATTCGGCAAATGATTTGGAAATATCCTTCAAATTATTTTGAAGGATGTGTCTGATTGTTTTAGACTTAAAAAGTTTAATATTTTTATACATGAGGGAATTTGCAAATAGAAAAAAATTCTCAAGAAACAGCTCCAAGAAAATACATTAACATTCTTATCATGTGACCACGCATATCACTTTAAACCCCATTGAAATCTGTAAAACTGGATAAAATTGAAAGCAGAAGGTTTTAAAAAGAATTCAACCTCATTACCAGATCTGAGAAAAGCTATAATGAAAGCATGATCTCATAAAATTATGTCAGAATATTGTGAATCTCTTGTTGCTTTAATGCCATGAAAAATAGAGGCTATTCTTAAAATTTGAGGAGCCTGTGCAAAGTATTAAAATATGATATATATATATATATATATATATATAATATATATATATATATATATATATATATATATAATTTTTTATGTTAATTCACCATCCCCAAAGCTGAGAAGGCCACTACAGACCTACAGTTACTTAAGGTCTGTAGTGGCCTTAATTGTGGTTATAACCTTCTCTCAATCCCTCTCTGATATATACTGTGACTTCTTTATTCTGTTATATTCATGTATGTTGTTCTTTGAATTAAAATGTATTAATATATACCCTAGCACGCAAATAAGTTAGTAAAAAATACTAACTTTTTAAACTTTTTGGATCTTTTACTTTAAGTCAATTATAAATAGATAAGTTTTTCAAGTTATTTTTTTAATGCCATTTTCTTCAAAAACATTTTCCTGTAGATTGCACTAATTATTTTACACGCACATATAGTAAATTGCATTTAATTCTACATTATTTTATTTTCATTTCAAGAAAAGAAAAATGTCACAAATAGTCTTCTACTGTTTTTTTTTACCTGATTTTTCTGCTCTAAGATTAGTTGTCAAGGTTAAGTTAAGTTTTCCTAAAATTTCTCCTTTTTTTTAGCTGAATATGACTAACTTAATATGTTGTATGTTAAATACTCTCTTCATATGACCAACTTGTTATGTTGTATGTTAAATACTTTCTTCATATGACCACCTTAATATGTTGTATCTTAAATCTGTCAACAAAATGTTGGTTACATCAACAACAGTTTATTTAACAATTTTTTCATTTGTCTCGAGTGCAAAGGAATACTGTTCATGCATTTTATAGCTTTATAGGATTTTTCAACACATTTTGATGTGGGATACCATATTGCTCATGTTGATGTTTGTTAGTATCATTATTCATAAGCACCAGTAATTTTATTTCCAAGTCTTTTTTCATTGTTCTGTTTTTCTGTTTTTATTTTGAAAAGCTGAGTAAAAGTTCATTCATTTGTTATTATTTTAAATAAATTTAATGTATTTTTAAAAATGCATTAGAATATTGGTATTATTAGTATAATGGTATTGGTATTATTATAGTTTTCTTTAATTAAAGTAGATATATTTAAAGATATTTTAAATACCTATGTATATTCATGTACTATGACATTCAAATTTACATGGGTTAGCATATGATATGAACAGATTTATTAATGTTTTGTTTAAGTGTGGCAGTTATGAAGAACTGAAAAATAATGCCGGTGCCTTTGCTGAGTTTTTAAAAACATTCCATCATGAAGTTAAAAATGATGAAGAAACTTATTCAAACGAATTAGAATATGAAGGCAATGAAGTCAATGGTAAATAAAAATTATTTATTAATTTATTATTTGATATGATATTTGTGAAACATTTTCGTATTATATGTAATCATATTAAAAGTATTTTTATGGTTAAGTTTAAATCCTTTAAAACAATTTTTATAAATAATTTTATAAACAATAAAAAATAAGTAAAGCTAAGCTTTTAAGACAATAAAAAATAAGTAAAGCTAAGCTTTTAGGACACTTTCAAAATACAGACAGCTTTGCTATTAACGAAGTTTTGATGAAAATACTTAAAATAAAAAATTAAAGGTGAATTTTTTTAGGTCCAGAAGACACGTAACACTATCAAATAACATGATTTTTTTACAGGTTGCTTGATGCAGCCAATGAAACATTAAAGAAGAAGTTTTCTCTGTACTGTCGAAAGTTTTCTCTGTTTTGTCGATTCCTTAGAAATTTTAAAGCAGTGACCTCTTGTATGATTGTTAACCATTGGAAAACGAATGCCTTTTTCTAATTTATTAATATTATTCATAATTTTATATATTTGTATTAGATCTCCTCTTTGTCTCCTTTGTACTAGTGTAGTTAGGTTTAATTTTTCGAGTCTTCATGTATAAGAAAGATTTCTGATTGATGATACTAGTCAATCTTCTGGATTCTGGATTCTTTCATAGTCATAGTCAATATAGTCACAATCCGATTTAAGAAATGGAGACCATACCTAAACTGTAAACTCCAGTAATGGACAAACAAAAGTAATATAAAGCGAACAAAGTTTCTTATTATCAAAATAAACAAATGATTTTTTGATATGACCAAGCATTTGATTTGCTTTGTTAGAAGCATTTATCACTTGATTTTTCCATTTTAGGTTTGTATTGAAAAGTACTCCCAGATCTCTTTCTGCATCTAACTCCGTTAATTGAATACTATTTAAATTATATAGATAGTTTTTGTTATTGTGGTTATAATACATAACTACACATTTTGGTATGTTAAACAGAATAAGTTTGAGACCATTTTTAGACAATATCTAGATCATTTTGAAGATTAGTAGCGCAAGTTCTGATCATAATTGAGAAAGCACTTTTCTATTATCAACATATAGTTTGGTTACATTAAGCAATTTTTTTGGAAAGTCATTAATATATAAAACAAATAAAAGTGCTGCAATTACCGAACATTGTGGTACACCACTAAAAATATTAACCCAGTCAGAAATGATTTCACCTTGAACAACTCTTTATCTTCTGTTTTCTAAGAAAGCTGCAATCCATTTAAGTAGCAGACCATCAAAGCTGTATGCTTTTAGTTTGGCTATCAGTCTCCTGTGCAGAACTGTGTCAAAAGCTTTAGCAAAATCTAAGAAAATTACATCAACTGGAATACCAATATCTAAGCTTGATGAAATGTAGTCAATGCTTTCTAAAAGATTAGTGGTGCATGATTTGTTTCTAAAGAAACCATGTTGCTCTTTTGCTAGTAGATTATTTTTAAACAGGTACTTTTCCATTTTAGCTCTAATAATACTTTCCATAATTTTATTTATATATATATATATATATATATATATATATATATATATATATATATATATATATATATATATATATATATACATATATATATATATATGTATATATATATATATGTGTGTGTGTGTATATATATATATATATATATATTTATATATATATATATATATATATATATATATATATATATATATATATATATATATATATATATATATATATATATATATATATATATATATATATATATAATAAACTCAAAAGAATAAGCTATGAAATTGATTACAAGTATCTTAAAAATACTTAATAAGAGATTAAATAAAAAAATTTGAATGAAAACTTCAGTTTACTGAAGTTTATAGTAAATTAAACAACAATGTCATGATTAATTTACAATATCTTGATAATTCATTGAAATTTATCTCTTGATAATTTTTAAACTCTATCAGTTAAATTTAAGTTGAAAACTAAATTAATGATGTTGCATTAATTATGATTTGCTATGGGTTCTCCATTAGTACCTTTACTTGTGAATTGTTTAATGGGTAATTTTCAAAAAAAGTGTATGAGTTCTTTTAATGCAATAAAACCAGTGTTTTACCAATATTATGTAGATTTTGTTGTTTTTTTCTCAGAAAGCCATCTTTGTACTTGAAGCAATAAACATTCCTCAAACTCTTTTAAAAAAAAACAATTACGCAATTACAAACTTGTTTCATAAGAAACTGTTTTCAGGTTTATATAAAAACTTTTATAGCTTTCTTTATTTTAATGAGTAATATCTATTAATTTTTATTGGCAGTTATAATTTTTTTTTTCAATTAAATCTAAATTAATAAAACTTTATTTTTAAAGTGTCAAAGTTTTTTAACAAAGTTTTCTGCATTTTTTACTATTAATTAGAACATAAGAAAATTGTTTGTATTTAAAACTTCTAAATAAAAACTAAAAAATTTCATTGTTCAAACAAGAATACTTTTTTATTTTTTTATAAATTTTATTTAAGGATTTAAAGATAAAGTAATGGAAGTAAATTTGCTAAAAAAAAAACTTCTTTGAAAATAATTCTTTAGCCATGTTAGGAAGCGTTACGCAGCTTGCTTTTTTCATAAATGTAAAAAGTGTTCAGTTTAAGTGAAAATTTTTTTATAAAATATAAATGTTAAAAGCCTTAAGTTAGACGAAAACCTTTTTTTTTTGAAATATTTAAACTATCTTTTAACATTGTTTATGCAACAATGTTATTCTGGTCGAAACTATTAGGTCGTAAAAACAATTTTATAAAAAAAACCTTTTTTTTCAAGAAACAAATGGTTTTATAAAAAAAAATTTAATTTTAATAAACTTTAAATCAAACATGATTTTAAAAATTTTAATTTATTTTGATGGAATGTAAAATAGTTAAACATTGAATGTATAGTTTAGTTTCAAATGAATATAAAATACTTTTGCAATTTTAAAGTTTTTTTAATCATCTTCTAACTAGTTAATACGTAAAATATAAGTCTTTCCATCGTATATTATCATAGAATATTATGAATTTGAATTTGTTTATTCATAAATCAAAAATTTACAAGCCATTTAAAAAAAAAACCATCATAAAAGAATAAAGTTTGAATTTTAAACTTTGATGAAGTGGTGCAGCATCAGGCAACACTATGATGACGTAATTTGGGACACAAAGTGTATCCTAGTTAGCTTTGAAATTGCATCAAATCGACTTTTAAAAATGTTTGTAGAACTTGCATTGACTACATTTGCTGGTAGCCCATTCCAGTTGTTAACAACTCGATTTTTTTATCTCAGTGATTTTATACTGTTGAATGAGGTCGCCCCTTTTTTGGCGCTCTTCTAGAGTGATAAGATTGAGTATGGCCAGTCTTTCCTCATAGCTTTTGTATTTTATCTTGCTTATTACCTTTGTTACTCGCTATTGAATGCATTCAAGTGCTTTTATGTCACTTTTTAGGTGAGGAGACCAGGCTTAGATGAGGTCTAATGTATGTTGTGTACAATTATTAATTGAATCTCTTTTTATAAGCGAAAGAAAATTTAAAACTTTTTCATTATAAAAATGGAAAAGTGCTTTTGTTTAAAAGAATTCTTTTCACAAATTTTTTGTTTCTTATTATTTCAATAAATTGTAAAGTTCCATGTAAAGTTCCTTTGGCCTACATTTAAGAACATAAATTATGTTTACAAATATCTTATTGGTAAATGATAAAATCTATCTATAAATTGTTCATAATCTTTATTCAAAATACTACATTAAATATATTAAAATTAAAATAAATAATTTGTGATAAACAAAAAATTGTTAAGTATAAGAAACAAGAAATAAATAAGAAAATATAATCTTTTTCAAATACCAAATTTAGGTTTAATTAATAATTTTTGTTAAATTAGTTTAAATAATTTTTAGCAATGTTTAGAATTAAATTTAATTAAAATGCCACTTTAAATTAAACTTTACAACACATTAAAAGCAAATAATTACAACACATTAAAAGCAAAGGGTTTTAAAGTATTTGTAAATTTTTTTTTTTATATTTGTCAATAATTTATTGGTTTAAAAAAGAGTGCATATTTTTTATTGGTTTAAAAAAGAGTGCATATTTTTTATTGGTTTAAAAAAGAGTGCATATTTTTTATTGGTTTAAAAAAGAGTGCATATTTTTTATTGGTTTAAAAAAGAGTGCATATTTTTTATTGGTTTAAAAAAGAGTGCATATTTTTTATTGGTTTAAAAAAGAGTGCATATTTTTTATTGGTTTAAAAAAGAGTGCATATTTTTTATTGGTTTAAAAAAGAGTGCATATTTTTTAGATAAAGTAAGTGCTCAGTTCAAGAGAAAACCTCATAGCGTTTAAATTGGCATGTGCTTTATCTGAAAATAGAAAATTGGTTGTTATCAATAGAAAAAATATACAATTTTATGTGTGAAACAAAAAACATTTTTCTTGAGATAAAATAAAGATATTAATACTAAACCTTTTTTCTTTTTTTTTTTAAAAAAAGTTGCAATAATAATATATATAATATAATAATAATAATATTATATTTAGCATAAAAAAATATTAAAAGTACTTTAAGAAAGCAATTTGAATTATAACATTTTTTCAATATTATATATATTTTTGTAAATGGTATGAAGATTAATGAAACTTCGTTTTGGCTTAGAAAACAATCAACATTTAGAGAAGGAATTCGACCTTAAAATGCAACAAAATTATTGTTAAAAGCACAGCATGGGGCTCACAGTGGCTGGTGAACTTTAATTCAGATAAAACTCAATTTTATTCGGCCAATCGTTATCGTAATAATTTAGATCTTCCTATATTTATGAATGGTAATGTACTAGATGAGTCATCTACCATTCATCTTCTGGGATTAACTCTTACTTCTGATCTTTCTTTTAAACCGTATATCAAATCCATTGCAAAATTAGCATCTGCTAAGGTTGCATCTCTTTATCGAGCTCGACACTTTCTTACTCCAGATTCTATTCTCTATCTCTATAAATCTCAAATCCGTCCCTGTATGGAATACTGTTGCCCCATCTGGGGCGGATCTTCTAATGATGCTCTTTCTCTTTTAGACAAGGTGCAAAAACGAATTGTAAACATAGTTGGACCTGCTCTGGCAGCCAATCTCCAACCTTTGTCACATCGTCGTAATGTTGCTTCTCTTTCTCTTTTCTACAAATACTATAATGGGCACTGCTCTAAAGAGCTAGCGTCCCTTGTGCCATCTACTAAAATTCATTCTCGTGTTACTCGCCATTCAATTAAGTCTCATCCTTTTTCTGTGACTGTTCCTAAGTGCTTCAAAAACTCTTATTCTTCTAGTTTTTTTCCTCGAACATCAGTTCTTTGGAATTCGCTTCCTTCATCTTGCTTTCCTGATTCATATAATTTGCAATCTTTTAAGTCATCAGTCAATTGTTATCTTGCTCTACAGATTTAGTCTTTTCTCTTCCAGTAACTTCCAACTCTTATAGTGGTTGCTTGCAGCCTTGTTGGAAGTGAAGATGTTAAAAAAAAAAAAAAAAAAAAAAAACTTACTACACATTAATGTGTTATGTACTCTGTTATGTAATGTGTTATGTACTCTGTTATGTCATGTGTTATGTACTCTGTTATGTAATGTGTTATGTACTCTGTTAATTTTATATTTGAAAATTCAAATAGATAACATAGACTAAATAGATAACATGTTAGAAACTTACATTATGAGGTGTTTTTTTTAATGTTTTTGTGCAAGTTTTAAGATGCAAGTTTGAATTATCAACTCTTTAAAAAAAATACAATGGTAAAAATAAATAATCACAAAAAAAAAATGGAATCCTTGGCATTAATGAATGATTAGATGTAGTAAGTTTCACTAATGAAACTACCCAATAATCATTTTTAACAATAGACACCAACATGTAGGTAAGCCAAGTCGTCTATCACACAAAACATCACAACAATAACATCACAAAGATTAACAAACAGCATATCACAGTAAGCTCTTAATAACTCAAATTTTCAAGGGACCAAGAAATTAGCTTGTTAGAGAATGTTAGAGTTATTTGATGAATAATATATAAATAAAGGCTCAACTCAAGTTCTAAATTAATTTATTGGAGAATGTTAGAGTTATTCAGTGTATAATATATAAATAAAGGTTCAATTCAAGTTCTAAATTAGTTTGTTGGAGTTATTGGGAGTATAATATATAAATAAAGGTTCAACTCAAGTTCTAAATTAATTTGAGTAATTAAGGTATATTGAGTTATCCAGAGTTTTAACTATAGTTATCATATTCAACATATTTTAACTACTAACAGTATAACATATTTGTAATTACGTATTTCATTGTATAACATATTTGCCATTACACATTTTTTGATTATACTAACTACAAACAGACTTTATTATGTGTTTTATCATGATAGTACACCACTGGGCTGGCAAAGACAACACTCTTGGTCTCAACAAAGCAAAGCTACATTATAGAAAAGTACATAGCTTGACTGGCAAGAACAGCACTCTTGCTCTTAACAAACCCGAGTATTTACTTACAGCAAAGTATGTCGCTTGGCTGGCAGGGACAACATTCTTGTTGTAAACTAAGCCTAACCACAACACCTTGAAACCATGGAAACAACATGATAACCGCTTATAAACTATAAACACATAACATTATAACACATAGCACACATAGAAATAGTAAAACAATAATTGTATATAGATTAAGTACATTTATAATTACAACATTGTGTGTAGCATTTATTAAATGACATATCTTGCCATGAATGTATTGTAATCAATTTAAAAAAATATATGTTAATTAAAATTAATGTTAATTAATATTAATGTTAATTAATATTATAAAATGTTAATAGGTTAATTCTATGCAATTAATGCATAGAATTAACTGTGTGAGAAGGATTTTTGAGATAAACACCAACTTTATCAAAAGTTTAACCTTAGAGAGTTTAAGCATACACACATTATCTCAAGGCAGTATTAGTACAAACATTAGCAAGTTTGCTACCATGTTAAATTTAAAAAACATTAAGCATGAAAAACTTTCAACATGGGCATTTCAGTTCATTAATTATTCATGACTTATTTTTAAGTTAAAAGTATTTCCAAAAACAGTTTCAAAATCCATGAACAATTCCAAAAATAATCTGCGCTATAAATAAATAAAGTGACCTTACTAGAAAATCTACATCAAAGTTTACTTTAAAATTACAAAATGACATTGGGAGTTAGAGAGACGTTAACCTCAAAAATATTAAAACAAATCATTTAAAACAAAAGTATTTGTTTTAAACTCATGTATTTATGTAACGCACAATTTTAAGCAGTGGTAAAAAAAAAAGATTTCTAGCATAAGTTATAAACATGATGCTTTAAAAAGGAAGTTTCCCAAAGACTTATTAATTATTTTTGAGAAATTCTTTTGTACTTCTACCACTGCCTCCAAATAACGCTTATATGCTTAAACTCTCTCTTGTTCAAAAGTTTGACTTTTATTCAAAAGTTTGACTTTTATCAAAAACTTTGAGTTCTTAAAAATAAAAAACACAGATTAATATGCGTTAAATACAATTGACTTGAAACAAAGGACTTGAATTGTGTTTTTATTAAAATAAATTAAATAGATTATCTACTTAAAATGTTATTTTACTAATCTATATATATATATAAAATATTTTTGTAGCCGTGGAATATATTTGATTTTGTTTATAGCTATTGAAGGTTTAAATGTTGAAATTATTGACAATAAGATTGAACCTGAACATGCTCTAAGCTTCACTAATCTTGCATATGCATCAAACAGCTGCGTATCAGTTTTTGAAGATTTAAAAAATGATGAAACTGACAAAAATGATGAAATTGACGAAAATGAATTGTACAAAAAAGAGGCTCAGCAAATTCTTGCACGCCATGAAAAAACTGTTTTGTTGAAAGGTTCAGAAGTTTTAATTACGCAAGAAGTTTCTGAAACAGGAAAGGTATAATTATTCACTATAGTTTGTATTTATTTTGTTGTTTTCAAAAGTATAATTGATTTTCATGAGTGACCTTTTTTATAAAGTAAATAAAACTAATGACTTTTTAGTTTTACTATCAAACCAAAGTTCATCTATTTTTTATAAGGCTAGTATTATACAAGATTTATATATATATATTTTATATAAAATAGTATATAAACAGTTCTTAAATTCTTGTGTAGACTTTTTTAAGAATGTTTAAACTTTTTTTTTTTTTTTTGATAACTTAGTTTCTGATTTAACTTTTCGTAATAACTTAAGTTTAAGTTAAGTTTTTTTCCAGGTTTCTTTTCTATACTACTCGCATATATAACAAAAATTCTATAATAGATTCTAAATGCTTCTAAATGTTTTCTGGAATTAACTTAAGTTTATTCCATTTCTTTTGATAAATTTTTTGAGATATCTGGGATTCTGTTGTAATATACATATATATTTTTTTTGCTTCAAATAAATTTATTTCCAACAAAACTGCATGGAACCACAATTTTTTTTTTTTTTTAATGTTAATTCACCTCCCCAAGTCTGAGAAAGCCACTATAGTTGGGAATGCTACTTTAATTGTGGTTACAACCCTCTCTCAACTCTATAACTCCAAAACACAAACCTTGATGAGCAAGGCTGCTGCAATACAAGTTGAGTTTTAGCAGTAAGCAATGAAATAGGTTAAAAAACAGGAAAGCTAAAGAAAAAAAAAAGTCAGGAAAACATAAAAGCAGAAACCAAATCTCAAATATTTTGTTTTTTTCTTTAATATTCAAAGAAAAAAACAAAATATAAGTTTTTTTAAGCATAAAGAGACAGTTATAGTAAAAGGATATAATTTTGCTGAATTACGAGTCATGTGAGATTGAGTTTTGGTTGATGTAATAAATATTGATAGAAGCAGCCATGCTAGTATTTGTAGAAAAGATAAAAAGATGCAACTTTGCAACAATGGAACAGAAGCCCAAGCAGGTTCAACAACATTTACAATGCAACATTCAGATCTTAGCTATTCAATATGATGACCTTTAAAGTCACCAATAACAACAATATTGGCTAAAGGATATTGGTTAAAACAACAATATTGGCTAAAGGATAAAAAGAAAGATCCTGGTTAATTTGATCATAAACAACATTGGAAAAAATTCAGAAGAAAAAGAATGATAAAGAACAAAAAAAAGGTAAAGTGAAGAGAAAACAAAAGCATATAAAAGAATAGCCTGAGAATTTAAACTGACAAATAATTGATAAGAAAGTTTATATCTTGGTAAAATATGTGAGCATTGGAATCTTTGCAAATCAAAGGTTAAGTTGGCCAATACCCATCACCATTTAAGTCAAAATATGAAACAAAATAAATTTATCTCACAAAGAGTAGGCATGGTTCATTTTTATCTCACAAAGAGTGAGCATGGTTCATTTTGAAAAAAGTAAGATTATGAATGAAAATTTCAAAGACCACAAATATATGTAAAGAATAGATTTAAAAAAATTGATGGTGATTATGGTTTTTATATTTATATACTTTATATTTCATGATATCTGGAACTGCCAGAAGACAAATGGGCTAAATATAGTTACTAAAGAATCTTTTGCTTTTTTCTCCAGACTATCTTTAAACCAGCAGTCAGTGTCAGCAGTCAGTGTCAGTAGTCAGTGTAGGCTTTACTTTCAAATACTCTGTATTTCCTTTTCCATAAATTTTAAATACTTAATTGAGATAAACTACATTTAAACAAAATTTAATAAATCCATAAATAATAAATCATATATCCATTAATGCATGCATGTATTTGCAACTGTTTAGTAGAATCTTTTACATTATATTTAGTTAATATTTTAGATCTTTTACATTATATTTAGTTGGCATTTTAGGAATGGTTTAACAAAGAAGTTGTGAAAAAATTTGTTAAACTGAAAAATTATTGCAGTACAACAAGTGGACTTCTCATATATAACTTTATTTTCTGATACAGGTCAAAAATCTCTGTTCTTTCTACTATATCCCTACATTTTAAATGTGGCAGTGCTGTAGTGGTAAAGTGCTTGCTTCATAAGTGAGAAGTTCGGAGTTCAATTCCACCATATCTTGATAGTACAGTGCTAAACTTATTTTTCCGTACAGCCACCTTGTTTGTCAAGGTTTGTATTTTGGAGTTAAAGACTTCTTATATGTTAAAGTCTTGCAGAAGTGTTCTCCGGAGGGTTGTAACAGCAATAAAGTAGCCTCTTGACTCTAGCAGCCTTGCGGTGGTGAATAACACAAAAAATAATAAAGTTATAATATAGGTTTATTTGAAAAGTTAATCTGGTATTAAGTTTACAATGAATTGAAAATTTACTGTTCGTTGTCCTTGGAAATGATTGTTAATTTAAAAAGTCTGCTATTAAATTTACAAAAGCTAATCTGGTATTACATTTAAATGGTATTAAATTTACAAATGCTAATCTAGTATTAAATTTACAAAGGCTAATGTGTACATATATATATATATATATGTATATATATATATATATATATATATATATATATATATATATATATATATATATATATATATATATATATATATATATATATATATATACATTATATATACATATATTTATATATATATATATATATATATATATATATATATATATATATATATACTTAAAATATTACTATATCCAGGGCCTTTGAGAGGAGGGGGGAGGTCACCGGGACAGTTTGTCCCGGGCGGCAGATATCCAAGGGGTGCCAAATGAAATGTAGATACCTCAAGAAAAAAAAAGTTCCTTCATATATAATATAGGTAAATTTGATAAATAAGAGCACCAATCAGGATTGCTGTCCCAGGCGGCAAGACAGCTCTGGGCGGCCCTGATTATATCCCATCTATAGATAATGTTAAACTCAATAAATCAACTATAAGTTATATAAACATATTATTATTTTTTTATCATAGCAGTTTTTTATTTTTTGTTTTGGTTATTTTTTCTCAAATTTTTTATGCAATAGGTAAAGCGTTCTGTTTATTTGACCTATTCCAAATCAATTAGCATTTTGTTGACCATCTTGTTTCTGTTTTTTGGTTTAATGTCAGAAGGCTTTTCACTTTATTCGCGTATTTGGTTAGCTGAATGGAGCTCTAATCGAAATGCTTCTAATCATCAACGAGATTTATATCTTGGTATTTATGGAGCATTAGGTGTTTCACAAGGTTTATCAGCAATGCTTCAAGCAGTAGTCCTATGTTTTGGGGTTGTAAGAGCATCAAAAGCCCTACATAACAATCTGCTGAAAAATGTTTTAAGATCTCCTATGTCATTTTTTGAAACCACCCCAATGGGACGGATTGTCAATAGATTTTCAAAAGACATTAATCTAATTGATGAATCAATTCCGAAGACAATAAAATCATTTGTTTCATGTTTTTTTACATTATGCGGTACAGTATTTATAATTAGTTATACCACTCCTATTTTTCTGGCTGCTTTTGTACCTATTGGTGTGGCCTACTTTTTTACTCAGGTTTGTTTTCAATTATTATATATATATATATATATATATATATATATATATGTATATATATATATATATATATATATATATATATATATATATATATATATATATATATATATTATATATATATATATATATATATATATATATATATATATATATATATATATATATATATATATATATATATATATATATATATATTATATATATGTATATATATATGTATATATATATATATATATATATATATATATATATATATATATATATATGTATATATATATATATATATATATATATGTATATATATATATATATATATATGTATATATATATATATATATATATATATATATATATATATATATATATATATATATATATATATGTATATATATATTATTTTCATTATTTCTGAAATTTGTTTTTGAATAATTATTGTTATTGAATTGTTATTGAATAAAAGATTTTTTTTAATTTTTAAGAGACTAAGATAAAATTACTTATGACGACTAGTTGTTATGACAACTAGTTGTTATGGAGACTAGTTTAACCACAATTAAAATCTTTGTAAATATTTTGATAAGGTCTAAAAGTTAAAATACACTAAAATATATTTGAAACTATTAACAAAGCAAAAAAAAAAAATTGTTAAAAAGTGTTAAAAAAAAGGTACAAAGAGTTGATTCATGATCAAGAACAGAGAAATTTTATAAGAAAAAAAAAAACAAGAAAAAAAAAGTAAGAAAATTAGAAAAGAGGATTGCATCAAATTACTCCAAAAACGACATGATGATCAAATTTACTCCAAAATCAAATTTACTCCAAAAACGACATAACTTTAAAACAACATTTTTTACCAAGGAGTAGGAAAAGTTAGACCCACAATGTCTAAAGAACTTGGTAGTGTCAATGCATAAAAGATGTCTTGAAGTCATTAAAGGAAAAAGCAGAAAAATTGACAATTAACGTTATCTTAGAATTATAGTTATTCAAGGGGTGATTAGAAA